CAGCAGTGAACTTCCTGTCCGGTCAAACTTTTTTCCTTTAGAGAGAGCAGCCACTTGTTTCATCAACTCCCTGTTCTTGGCCTGTGAAGACAAATGATTAACTGTGTTAGAAATTAGATGCCTGGTCACAATTTTTAATACCTTAGTGGAAGCATTTGTAAAAATCACAATGCACAATGTACATTACAAGTTTCCTGAACTTTTGATTGTGTTTTAAATTGCAGCAAACACACTAGTAGTTTTAGGAAATCAGTTTCAAAGCATTTTTTTCATCATCGATCCAACCCTACAAATTAAAGGGTTATCTCCCCACATGGGCTACCTTCAACTGCATAGACTGTACTGATGAAAACATGTCTGGTGCATCAAATGAATATGGAGCACATCAGTCACAGATTCACACTTACAAAACAACCACCATAATAAAAAGGTTAATACCACAGCGTTTGACAGGAAATGGCTCAACCGATGCACCCATTGTATCCATAACAACAGACTGCAAACTTAGGCAACAAGTGAATCATCCATCATATTGGCTATATAACTAAATTGTTATATAGATCTATATACGGTTAACAATTTTCAGCAATTCTTTCCTAATAGAGGTAAATGATTAAACCTGGCATACCATGTCAGAAGACTATTGTGATATTAATTGTTTCTCACCAAAATAACAGAAAGGGAAATCTATTCCCATGCATTGTCCTATCCTATCCTGTCAGATGCATGGAAGTTACTGAGTTACTAGTGACTAATTTTACTTGAAGTTATGTTAACTAGGCAGAGTGATGGACAGAAATTTAATGAAAAGATATACTTTAGTAATGATTATATCATCCCTCCCCCTAAGTGTGTAGTTTCCTACCTGCTGCTGCTCCATAGCCTCTTTGTGTGATTTCTCCATTTGGTTCATCTTCACTCTCATGTTGGATTCCTGGTACTGAAAGTCTGCTTTGAGCTCTGTAAGCTGGAGGAGAGTTTTATAATCAACAACTAGAACAAATCCAAGCAACCAACAACAGCGATGCAGCTTTGACTCATTTCAGCTGGAAGTCAGGTCAGGCTGATGACCTACCTTTCGGTCCTTCTCTAGGATGGTCTGATCCCTTTGCTGTAGAAGTCTCTTCAGTGACATCACTTCCTCTTTCAGCTGGCTGATGAGAATGAAGTTGTCTGTTCCTCCAGAATCCATTGACTGGGTGATGGAACTACTGATGGGAGAAAGGAAAGAGCATGATGGGTAGTCAACAAGTGGGAGCATAAGGAATTACTATTTTTATGAGAGCAACAATGTAAGTAAAGTAATTGCATATTTTCTCAAACAGTTACAACACCTATCATACCTGTCCCCATTGGATGGCTTCATCTCCAGTTTTGGTTTCTTCTTTGGAGTCTCCTTCTGGATTGAAGACGATTTATGGCTGCAAAGAAAATCAGATGGCAATATACAGTCTGGGCCTAAAAACGCTATCAAAACACAGTTCTCTCAGGTACATTAAGTGGGTTTAATGAAAGGGAACATGTTACCTCTGCTTCCACAGTCCCTGGTCCTGCTCAGGACTCAAGCTCCCACTCAATCTGCGAAAGATAGGTAAACTTAGCAAATAACAGCACACAACAGACACACAAAGTCATTGAGTTTTAGCACTATTCTGTGCTAAAACTCAATGACTGAGCAGCCTAGGCATGGGACTGCAGGAGGGAGAAGTGACACAACAGAGGACATACTTGTGGTGAGAACTGCTGTGTCTGTGTTGGTGGTGGTGGTGGTGATGGTGAGGTCTGGAGTGGTGGTCTTTCTCGTTCAGGGATGAGGAGTTGGAAGAGCCGAAGCCCTTCCTCTGCTCCTTGGTCTTCTGCAGGACACGGCGGTAGGACAGAGTGCAGAGCCAGCACAGCAGTTTCCCATCCACCTGTAAGGAGACGGTAACTCATAAGACTCACTGTTACACATTCACTCTATAATTAGACTGCATGTGTGTCTGGTTTATACCTTTCTCCTGCCTTCCTCTTTGCGGTCAAAGGCGCATTGCTGTTTGCACTGCTCACAGGTCTGTGGAGGTCCATATTTCTTCTCTGAGTTAGTACAACGCTGGCACTTTGTCCCAATAAAAGCTGCAATGATGTTACAGTACTGGCAGGGTTTGGGCTGTAAAGCCAGACAAAAGACAAAGTTAAAAGTTAAAAGTGTACTTACACATGATGCGACTTTAAACAAATATACCCCTAAGTGCAACTGGAATCAGTGAATTCAACACGAGTTAAAACTGTGTCAATTAAAATAGAGGACAAACTTGTTACTCACAGTTCCAAACTGTTTGACATTCTGGGCACATTTCTTGCAGATTGTATTGGTTTTACTGTAAGGAAAAAATAAAATGGTATAAAATGCAAAGAAATCCATTATATCAGCAGAAATAAAATTCATCATTAGATGCACATGTCTCACCTTTCCTGCTGAAATTCAGATCTGCAGTACGTGCACTTCACTATGGGGTGTGCAATGCGACACTCCTATGGTAACAAAACAAATAAATGTTCATGAGTGTCTGTTGGCAAACACTGACAAATTGTATTACATAATATCCAGTGGACACTTTAACAAAAAGAAACAAGGCACCCCTTTAAGTTGTTTGTTGTGTAACAACTCTTGGCTGCAACATCTGTGGAAATACCAGCGCCTGGCAATTTGGGTGTATACAAGAAGTAAAGACTGCCATGTACTGTAACTGCTTTTGTTCAGTCAAGGCCACACATTATTACAGGGGGGCTTGGCAATGTGGTGAAAATAAGCACATAAAAAAAACTTTAGCTGGCATTTTTGAATATTTAAAAGTCCTTGAAGGAGAAATCTAACTGTGACTGCATAAAAGTGTTCATTGGCTGACTTTGTGCTTTAACTATCCAGTGCAAAGAAAAGTTCTCTGCATGTTCAGGGAGAAAATAGTAAAATGCTGGGGGCTGTTCACAGAATAATAACAGTATCCATTTTTTCAGCTTTTATTAAAATATGAATCAGTGCAGACTGACTGTTAAGAGAATAATGGTGGGAACTCAAGGCTCCAAGGTTGACTTCCTTCGTTACAACACTTCTCTCTTACGGAAAAAGATTTCTGTTCCTCAGCTGTACACCGCAGTTCTACTTGTGAAGCTCTACAAGAGCAACAAGTTGGCAAATATGTACATCAATACAATTTTAAAAGAATACTTGTGCCCCACGGATAAATAACCAGCTGTTAATTATATAGTATGAATGTGCCATTGTTCTTTAATAAACAGCGTGGTCGTGTGGAATAATAATAAACAAGGTTTCAGTGACTGTATTAGCATGTCCAGGCTGGAAATTTAAAAGCTGTTACATAATCCGAGCCTTGCTAACTTGCTGCCTGTCGTAACACCATCACACCCAGACGGCAAAAATACCCGCACACTTCCACAGTCTCTAAAAGCAGTGTTGTTTGTGTTTTGTTTAGAGTCACTCCCAAACCTTGCACAGCTGCTGGCCCTGCGACAGCTCCTCGAAAGGATACCGCTGGTTACACTTCGTACAGGCGTACAGAGCCGATGTTGCCATTCTCACCCAACTAATGTCACCGAGCTAGATGAAGGGTTAGCGGAGTCCAGCTGCAAACTGAACGGATTAACGGAGCCGTTTCCTTTCTAGCCGCTCGCTAATTGAGACCTAAGGAGCACACACTGTGTTGGCATCCAGCGTTAGCTAACGTTAGCTGGCTGTGCTAGGCAGCGTAGGGCAGCACAGAAATAGCTTAGTTAGCTGGAGGGAGCAGACGAAGAACAATAAACTCCAAATATCTTTGAGCTTTCACTGCTCATACGTTATCCAGACGGACTACCTTGAGATCTACCGTTAGTTATGTCGCCACATAAACAATGCGTTAGCATAGATCGGGCTATTTATATTAAGTTTCCACTGTTCTCGGCAAGAAAGGTATTTTCCTGTTTTCCTTCTATCTTTTTGTATCAACGCCGTCGTCGTCATGTAACCGGAAGTGGCCGACGGCTTCAGAAGAAGAAAGGAAACCTATCGCGACACAACATCCGTCCGCGGGATTCACAGTTTAAAATGGTCCGAGCCAATCACCTGTCTGTGTTCACTCAGCACAGCCCCTCAGCCCGGTCAACTGTTTTAACTAGTATGATAGCTAATTGACACTTTAATCATACAGTAATGTGAACAGTGGTGTTAGTATCTGTCCCTGTCTGTCCTGTCAAGGTCTGTTATGAGCGGGTCAGTGATGTCAGGTTACATTTTTCAAATGGAAATCATTCATGTTCTTCTGAAGTCTGCAAATTCTTAATTTTCTAAAAGTGAAAAAAAATTCTTTATAAATTGTTGGAACCCATCCCCTGTTTGTACTACAACTTGTGAGACAGACAGAGGTTATGATGCTGAACATTCTCAATTTCAATGAGATGCCTGATTAAATAAAGATTAAATCAATCAATCAAAATCATTCTATGCTGGACATGTGTACTGTTGACTAATAATTTGTTTTAAGGATATTATATTTTATTTTATAGTCCTTGTATGGCAGAGCTTTTGTAAATATCAGGGTTGAGTAATTTCTTTTTGGTCCTGTTGTTTTGCGTAGTGTATCCAGTGAGGGGGGTCCTGGTTAACCTGGTTTCTGGTTTATAGCACCTATAAACTTCTTTGTGTTAAAACCAAAGTTTTCTAAGATCAAAATCAGCTTTTAACATTTGGTGTGACATCAGAAGCATCTTAATTGCTACATATGCACGAGAATTGAGGAAATTTGACTTTTTATATGACTTTCTGTAAATACTTGGAATCAGTTGCTTGTTAATTAACAAAAAGGATTAATTTCTCAAAAAGCCTTGGACACACTGAAACCAACATATGCACATATGCAATTAGTGTTTCCCCTTAAACCCCTTTTACTAACACTCAAAAAAAACAAACAAACAAAAAAACACACACTCAAATTCACAAAAACTTGACTACATAGTATCAGCACTTTTATTAATTTATCATTTTAATACATTTTGACATTTGACAGCACAATTTGACATTGCTGTTGCCTGAAAACAAATTTTGAAGTAATGGAGTACATACAGCATTGCAGCCTCACTTAAACTGTGTGGAAAAATAGTCATACTTAAATAGCTCTACATTTTTAAAGGGAGAATTCAATACAAGTGACAATACAAATGTATTTGAAGTGATAGGCATCCATCAAATCAGTAGAATAATAAGTCTTTTAATGGGTAAAGCATAACTTAAATTCAAGTTATGGCAAGTCATCAAATATTTAGGTATGAGAGTGAAAAAGATTGAATATGGTCAAGCTAATATTTTCAGAGCCACTGCAGTCTCAAAATTTACACATTTATAATTTGTCATTTATAATAAAAGGCACTCTTTATCTTATGTTTTATGGCAAGATCAATCATAAGAAGAGATAATTATTGCTAATGTCATTGGAGCTCTGCTCTATCATTTCAAAAGCGTGTTTATTCACACCATGCTAATGTAACAACAAACCATAATGACTCCTTGTAGTCGAGTCCTGTGTTTATTGCAAGTATTCACATACACAGTGGAAATGTTAACTAACACTGTATTTAGCGTTAAACCTTGACAATTAAACCTTGCACACTATTCTTTTGTTATTCTCTCAATCATCCAGAACAAGGCACAGATATTCATTCAGATTTATTCAACTAAAAAACCACCTAAGGCTAATTATTAGTAGCTACACTTTCTGATGCCTATAAAAGTTAGCTGATACTAGCTTTAAAAAGCATCTGCAAGAAATGCTCACACATAGACATTTTGAGTAAATGACTGTTAACTGGGACTAATGAAATATTGCATATTCTGTGCAGCTTATTAACATTGCATGGGAACATCTTTTATAAACTTATGACATGGGACAGAGTGTGTTTGTGAGCCATAAATACAAGTCTGGACTAATGGATAATAAATAACGTTGACTAGTTACAAAACTTAAATCACTCAATGACAGGAATGTAATATGACACTATTATTCATATATTAAAAAAAAAAAAAAACCCCAACAGATATTTGGTCACAACAATCTAAAAGCACTGACTTGCGAGGAAAATCCGCCAACTTTTTTAATGCACTGTATGACTATTTTTTTAACATAAGAAGAAGCTAATTTTAGAGCCCTTTTGCTACATTTTTAAAATCAGTATTTAACAACTCCCAAGCTTTTTTGGTGTTAGACTGTTTAACTAGAGTTTTGACCTCAGAATATTTGCAGCATTGTTAATCTTCACAATTGCTTTAGCTCAACAAATCATTATCTAACAAATGTTTGCAGTGTAGAGGAATGAAGTGAGTGTCCCATGATATGTATAAGGCATACATACTTAACCCGAGTGATATTTTAATGTACTTCAAATACAATAAACACTGATTGTAGGTAGGTCGATATGCTAAACAGTCCCCACTATTCTGGTTACATGTCCCTTCGACCCTGGAGGGAGAGTACAATATGGCTGTAGTCAAGCAGTCTGAGACAGATGTGCTTCTGTTGCAAGCAGATTCTATATGACCTGTGAGAGATGCAAATGCAGTAATCTGCTCAATCAGACTTTTGGTGGTAGTGTATTAACATGGTGTGTCACCCAAAGAGGCAGTTTGGTACACAGGTCCTTCATGGCGCCAGCTGCAGCCTACTCATTACAACTGTATGGCACCTTCTCACAGGTAGGACTCAGCTTCTGAAACCTTAATGAGGGCCAAGTTGTGTCACACAAAAGTCTGCACTGGAGTGATGGAGCGTGTGGGGGAGCCCGCCCTTTCAGAGGATGAGGAAGCTGAGCGATTGGTCACCTCTCGCTGTAGCTCATCCACTCTCTTCTGCAGCTCAGCGCGCTTTGCCAAGAGCTCCTTGTAGCGCTGATGAACTGGTTCCTGGCAAAAGAAAAAGGCAATGTGTGAAGCTCAAGCTGAAACACCAAAGTGGAGTTAATGTGGAGTGCAAACAATTTCCTTTAAAAATATTGAATTCAAGAACAAGACGCAGGCTTCCTTGACATGCCTGAGGTCTCATGCGAGGGTTCCAGCGGATGTAGTAGCCAACCCAAAGCTCCAGGTGGCGCAGGCTGACTACAGGGAACAGCACATGGTTGGAGTAGTTCACATAAAGAGGACTCGTAAACTCCTCCAGCTGGCTGTTAATATAAGACCACAACGACACTGTCCTCTTGGGAATCTCCTGTAAAATAAAGATCTAGCTGTCAGAACACTGATTTTCCAATATCTTATTTTAAAACATCTCATTTTGCAGCAGCAAGCACAATATTAAAATGCTCAGAGTAACAAAATGCTCTTACTTCCTTCAACCTCTGCTGTTCACTGTTACACAAGAATGTCCCAAACAGGCAGCTGTACAAGTGGTCCAGGATGGTAACCAGGAAGTATTCGTTAAACTCAAAGGCTGCAGGAAACTTAGACAAAAACCGTTTCATTATTATCCTTCAAAGACCTTGTTATTCTGAAGATTTTTTTTCACATTTCGGTAACATTTATTGCTTACCTGACGAGTCAGCTGCCACACGCAGTCAATGAACTGAATAAAAACAGGTGAACGGTCTGCGTCTGTGTGGTTTTTATCGCCGTGACCGATTCGCTTAAAGTAAAAAGTAGAAAGAGAAAAGGACAAATTAATGATGCAACTGGAAAGGCCACCACACATTATGCTTGAATATCCTCAAAGCGTATGAAAGATTGTTTACCAGCTGGAAGCGGTGACCGAAGCTCAGCCACTCTTTCTCGAGCAGCACCTCGAAGCCACGGATTGTGCGGTAGTAACCGTCCAGCATGAGCATGGCCAGGGAGGTGAGCTGAGCTGTGCGGTCCCAACCGTCGCTACAGTGGACTACCACTGATGTTTTCCCAGACTCCACCTTGTCTGCAATCCGCAGCGCTCCTGCCAGGATCAACTAGAAACAAACACAACTTAGTCAAGAGCCTGGGAGCCTCATTCCTCTCCACAGTGAAGCATCATTATGCTCACCTTGATGTGCTCAAGCCAGTGAGTGGACTCCAGATTGGAAAGCCAGTGGGAGTCCTCGATGTTGGGGTAGACCACATCCTTCAGCTTGCGGAGTGACTCCCTCATCACATGGATATTGTGAATATCCAAGAACACCAGCTCTGCATTTTGATAAGCATCCTCACTTTCATATCCACCTCCTTTCATCTAGGAAAAACAAACAGATGGGTTATTAAGATACACTGGGCAGAGATTAGCAAAATCTAAATCCCTACCACCTCCAGTATGTCATCCTACAAATGAGTGTGACCTCCATGTACAGGGGGCAATAGCGTGACATTTCCTTAAAATACTATTATGATAGTTCTCCTCCTCATAAATATTACTTTTGAAATCAGATTTAGAAAATAAACCTTGTTGGCAGCAGCATTGACACTGGGCCTGGCATCAAAAATGAAGAGTTTATGGGACTGAGCATTAGCATCCATGATTGCCTGGAGATATTTCTCATCCTCTTTGCTGCGCTTTCCATTTACACCAACCATGGGCTGACTGCAGCGCGTCACTGTGGCTTGGCTTTCTGGATGGATCCATGATAAAACCTACACAGGGAGTATAACAGAATATTACCAGACTGTCCATTGAAACCAGCTGCACAGGATAATTACACTCGTGCTGAAGGGGGGCACTCACAGGTATCCTGCCCTTTGCTCGGAAGGCCGCTACCCTCTTCAGCTCTTCGTCTGGTATATTAACAGGCACTGCCAGAGTTGATGGGTAGGTATCACACATCTCGTAGTGGTCATTTATTTTCGTTATTCTCCAGCTTTCATTCGGTATGCCCTACCAAGAAACACAAGAACAACCCATGTAATAAGCTTCCTTTTAACATTTAGCTTAGGAGTCAGTCGCCTTCAAATACCTGTCTTTTGTACTCTGAGACAGCATCATACACCTTCCATCCGTTTTCAGGAAAGACTTGCCCATATTCAAAGGCAAAGATTTGCTATGGAGAGTAGGAGAGATATCTGTCAGTTGGAAGACAGTGCAGAGCTACAGTGTCAGAGACAGTGTGGCTGAGAATCACTCACCAGCCCGTTGGAAACAGGAAACGCAAATTTTATCAGCACTTCGAAAATGGACTTCCTAAGTGTGTCCTCCATCTGTTTGTGTGCAAATCGTAGATTACGCATATCCTGCAGAGAGACAGAGCAGCAGGTCATGGTCAAGTTCAGGGGTCAACAGCAGTATGTACATGAGTTTCACTGGTGTAAAGCCGCTACATGCAGTAACAGTTATTTCCTATTATGCTATCGTCGACATATTATGATCACATTGTTTCAGATGGTGCTGTTTACACAGCTGGGATAACAAGAGGTCCGTCCTCTGTGACTTAGCACTGTATTGCATTTATAACCAGTAAACATCTGAACTGCTATTTAAGTGCAGTTATTCCAGAATAGTTACACATCTTACTCACCTTGCAAACTAGCCCATAGGACACATCACCACGGCTCGATGCACTTCCGATCTTTTCCACGCGACTCACCACCCCAAGGGGCAGGTCCAGCACAAATGCTGGCTCCTAGAAAACAACTACACATTAACAAAAACAAAATGACTCCTCTACATTTCCATGAAGTCATTCTAAAAATTCACAAAACATACCCTGTCCATGCATTTGAAGAACAGTCTGTAGTTTGTAACTGTCACTGTTCCCCTCAGTGCTCCAGTGAAAGGACAGAAGTAGGTGACATCTTGGGCTGTGGAAGAAAACAAAGGGAAAATAAATCTCGATTTGCCAAATATGTGAAATACATTACAACTTGCTTTAATGTGGAAATATGAGAAATGCTGCTTTGCTTTTAATGCAAGCAAGCTATTTTGATAAGAGTTGTGACTGCAGCCAAGAGAAAACCTACCCATGTCCTGCACGGTTTCATTTGGAAGTAACTGTGGTTCCTCTTTGTCTGAATCTCTAAGCACCGGCTGGAAACATTAGATATAAATTAGACTGAATGTGGAGCAGTATGTTGTACTAAACCATGAAACTTGTGAAGGTAACTATCATATGGTATTAGTCAATAATTTGTTGGGTAGTATGTATTTCATGAGATGAGATACCTTGGCAGCAGTTTTGGGTTTGACCTGAAAGGAACAGAAAGAAGAAGAGTCATGCCTCAGTCATTATCAACAGATGCTTTAATGAAGCAGCAGGAACTATGTGCGTTCTACTAACCCTGAGCTCTGGGGAAAATTCTGCAGAGGGGGACACAGAGTCAGAGGACATTGCAGAGGGTGGTTTAGTCTGGGCAGACCGGTCGGAGCGAGAGGTGGATGTACTGTTGAAAGATGTGGTGACAAATGAAAAAACGGAAATGAAGTCATTTGTCATCTCATTTCATCCATGTTTTTCCCTGTCTCCGCAGTGGTGTTAAAACCATTATTTGATTAAACAATTAGTCAACTAACAAAGATTATTTGTTCAATATTTTTATAAGCTGAGTGGCAACTTGAAGATTTCTAACTGTTGGTCAGAGGGAGTAAGCAAATGTTTAATACTTTTCTGACGTCTTGTAGTCCAAATAGTTAATAGATTGATCGAGATATTATGAACACCTCAGGGTAATGTAGCTACGTTGATGGGTTTTAGCTGTTGATCAGACTAAAGGAGCAAACATGTTATTAAACTGGGCTCTATAACATCTGACTGACATTTGCTCATTTATCATGTCGTTTAAATGAATATCCGATTAATCGTTTCAACATGGATTATAACCAATGACGACAACATCCACTACACTATGCCCTCATTTACTGTCAAAGTCTGGTCGTTTCAGGGCACTTTTTGACCGGATTACATTATATGTGGTTTAGCAGTCACCTCTGACGGGTTATAAATAGTGCATTGGGATTACAGGTTAAATCTAGTTCTAAAATCTTAGTAAGTAACCTCGTTAGTTTCAAAACTTTGCTAGCTTATTGAGCGACGTATTGTGCTGGGTTTAGCTACCTGGACAATGAATCAACACTTGGCTGTCGTGAAGAGGAACGCTTCGAGCCCAAACTGTCGATGCTCCCGCTCTTCTCCATGTTCTCCCGGCTGAGGTGTTTGGACAACTGGTAGTGTGAACCCAGAGTGAGCGATGTGAACCCGTGTGATTACGGAGGAAAGTCTTTAGAGACCCTCTCGGAGTACAGTAAATCCGCACAAACAAAAGGAAGCTGCCATCTTTTCCCAGCAGCCTCCCGATCCCTGTCACAAGGATTTTTGAGATAGCGCCCCCTGTTGGCTCTCTCCACTGTCGACTGGTCGCATGCTGCATTCATTGCTATTCGTACGTGTTTATATTTCTCTATTGGGCTTTTACAGAAATTGTTTTGTTAGCTAATAATCAAAAAAGAAACCACAATGTGCTACACACTAAAAAGCGGACAATATCATTTTGTCAGCTTTTGAAGTTATTTTTATGAACACATTATACGTTCACATACATTACTTTGGACAGCTATACACGTTTCCAAGTTGCCATAAAATTACATAAATCCTACACCTCTATAACATCTTTGTTTTAGTTGTTTTATCAACTCGCTGCTGGAATATGAAATAAATAAATGAAAAAAATTATTACACTATTCTGTCAGGTTACACTAGTAATCACATATTCATAAAGGATATTACACAATAAGATTTGTGTTTAGGGAGATGCAGAAAATAGAAACAAGTTATTTTTTGGAATATATAGCTGTGTGGGGAAATGCAGCAAATGCAAAAGATTGTGTTGAAATTGTTCACACTATTCTGGATACTGAAAACATATAATGCGTAGCATATTATTGATTCAAATAATCTTAATAATAATCCTAATGCACTTCCAAATTGCAAAAAAAAACCATTCCAACATGTGACCTTTATGCTATAATGTGGCTTGCAGAGAAACCAAACTGAGTATGTGATTTTTACATAAATCTTAACAGTGGCAGGGTCACTTCAAAGAACTCATTCATCATATAAATGTTTTGATTTTAATGTTTGATGCCAGTGTTGTATTATCTCTGACAGTCCATTTAATATTTTGGTTGTAGAAAACCTGAAATACAAAATTAATTACATGAAATAATGTCCTTCTAATTTGTTGGATATGCAATGTAATATTCACTAAAAATGGTTACAAAACTATGATTCTGAATTAAGTTCCTCATTATCATTCTATCACCAGCTCAAGTAACTTAATTTTCCAAGGTTCAGAGCAGTTTGTATTTATATGAACATATCTAACCAATTTAATCAAAAACGTATATTTATTATTTAAGATATTGCTCACTATTGGACCATGAATAAATTCAGTACCTAGACAAGATAAAAAAAAAATTAAGCAAAAGGTAGAATAAATACTTGAAAATCAGATCATTCTCCATATCAATCCTTCTCAGAGAAATTCTTGAAATAAATTTCAAACCCAAGCCATTGTTTATTCAAATTAGTAAAAAAAAAAGAAAAAGAAAAAGAAAAGAAATCCACCTTGTTTTGAGCTTTGTTCAAAGGATGTAACTCATCAACTCATTTATATACATTTTACCTGTTGACTGTACAGAGACTGATGCATTTAATTTTGAATGCTAAAAAACAAATGGAAGTAGGAGATCAAAGAAATGAGATAAAAAAAAAGAAACAGTAAAATTAACACACATCAAGTACTTTACTTTACATATTTCTCCATAAATTTCTTGTGGAACTCCGAGCGCAGTGTATCATTGACGAAGCGTTTCTCTTTCCGTGCCTCGTCCACTCCTTTAGCACAGTTTTTGAACACAACATCATCATCCCACCTAGAAAGATATTAACAAATTCATTGTTGATGATTGGTGATAAATGAGGATAACATATTTCCCTCAAATACAAAACTCATATTATGCATACACTACAGGTCAAAAGTTTTATAAAGACCTAAAAAAAGATGCTGGTAATCTAAACCTTTTGACCCAAAGTCTACATGCATGTGCCAGTGTGTGTATGTGTATGTGAGGTACCTTCTCTTGACCCTGAATGTATTCTGACTCTGGTTCATCTGTTGTTGTTGTTGTTGCTGTTGTTGTTGTTGTTGCTGTTGCCCTGCCAAATTAATCAATGGATTGCCACTCAAGATATTCTCCATGCGAATCCTCTCCTCCTCTGCCTTTTGCTCCCGCTCCTGAGATGAGAAAAGATATAAATTCACAAAACAAAATGGGGTAACATTTGCCTCCTCTCAAACACACATTTCATGTTTTAACTTGCTGATGTTTTTGTCAGCCATGCTCTTGTCAGACAGCAGGTTCAAACACATCAGTCTGAAATGACACTTTACTTTGCGCTCTTGCTCTTCAGCCCGCTCCTTCTTGATCTTCTCCAGTTCTGCCAGAAGAGCTGCAGTGTCATCGTCATCACTGTCCTCCTCAGAGTCCTCGTCCTCATCATCCTATGAACAAACAAACAAACATTGGTGAGGGAGCCCAGTGAGCGCTACTCAGTAAGTGTCCACTAAGTCTTAAACTGCAAGCACTTACATCAGTGAGAGGGTCATCTGCATCAAGGTTGGCTGCTGGGATCTGATCCAGTCTGGGCCTCTTTGAAGATGATGACGAAGATGATGATGATGTGGTGTGCTCTGCAAAATTACGGTCAGTGCAGCATATTAAGTAGTTGTTTCCATGGGTATAAACTTAAGATAAAGTTAGTCAGAAATAGACACTAAAATAATTTTTTTATAATCAGTAAGTGTAATATCTGCAGAGACACCGACCTCTTGGTCCCCTCTCTCTGGTCTTATCACGTGCAGCTACACGCTCCCTCTCTTCCAGCTCCCTGCGGAAGTCACGGGCACGCACCTCCTCAGGGGCATCCTGGGTAGGTTGCCTGAGGTTTGGAAAACATTAGGAGGGGGAAAAAAACTGAATAAAAGAACAAATATTTTGTTTCTAGTGTATATCCACCTTAAAAATGAACAGTAGGTTCATAAGGTATCTTACTTGTTGTAAATCAGTGCCTGGCTAACCAGCAGTGCACTCAGTGACACACTGATTACAACCCACAGCTCAATTCATGTTTGATTTACTGACCTGTACTTGATCTTAGTGTGACCCGGAAGATCTCGGCTGGAATACTGCTTGGAGAGAGCACTCAGATCACCTTCTCCTTTACCTCTCCCTCCTCTCGCCGGCTCAAATGTTGGTCTTGCAGCTGTAGTCATCTTGAATGGTTCTCCTGTGGCAAACACATGAAAGGAGAACAAAAAGCTGCAAATCAAATACATTCCAAACAGTAAATACCAAGATCTGAGACCTCTTTTCCACATTGATGATGACAAAGGTATCAGCTTCTATTTTGATTATTGTATAATTGTATTTTATAATAAAACATTCAAGTATTTGCTGTTTATCACTTCTCAAATATAAGGATTTGATGTTTTTCTTTGTCAACCTCGACAGTAACCCAAGTAGCTTTGGATTTTTGGACTGTTGATCAGACAAAACATCTGAAGATGTAATTTTGGTTTGAGGGAAATTACATCTGGCTCGTCTCGCTATTTACTGTCATTTTATAGACAAAACAATTAACTGTTAAAAATAATCAGCAGATTAATTGATAATGAAAATAACTTAGTTGCAGGCCCTGACACAGGTGCCAAGTCAACCTCTCCTCATTTAAACTTATTCTATGTTCCTCCTTTATGTTTTACGTAGAAAAAAAACTCTTCTGCTAACTAATAATCAACCATGCACAATTTGTCTGCAGGAGTAGGAGAACGTTCCTTATCATTTTCAGATGATCTGATTGAGTAGTACTGTAGACGCAATTGAGCGTTATTCTACTGAAATCATCACTTTCCCAGCTGATAAAAAACTAAATTATTATGTATGTAAGTCGTCAGACAGAAAAACATTCACTAGCAAGCTAAGCAATAAAAATTACGTAAGTAAATACTTTTAGCGGACCACAGAATAATCAGGCTATGTTCTTGCTAACCTATCGTTGGGAGACATGTAACCTACATTTTTAAACAAATTAAGCTGATTGTTAGTGAATAATCGAGTGTAAAACACAAGCTAGCCTGCTAGCCGGTACAGCTACAGAGCTGTTAGCAGGCTAACCAGGTTTAACAACGGAAAACAAAGCTATTTTGCCTCTCCGACAGATTGTATACCGTGAAAGTTCAATACGAGTTGTTTAAAGAAGGTTATCTTTTAAAATAAAAATAGAATCCAAATAAACAACATTTTAGAAAAATTAATTTAGAGCAATAACACTTACGAAGCTGCTACCACACGACAAAAATGAAGACCCGATACAACGGTGTACGTCACTTCCTGTAGAAAAGGTGCGTTCCAAAACACTCGGAACTGAGAAAACTTCTAAATATACTTACTATATGCATACATATTTAGATGGTTGTTCGTTATTTAGATGTTTGTCTAATCAATTTTCAATATATGTTGCTCTGATCAGGGCATAGAATAAAAAAGAAAAAATCTAAAGCTTATATTTCTTTTTCTCCTTTGCTAGCGAGAACAAGTAAAGTGTCTTCACAATAATGTGCAGTGCTGTAGTGAGGAAGGTAGGGGGCACATAGTGGTGATAAAGAAAAATCAGACAACCCCTGTACCTGATGCCTGTGTCCTGTTCCAAGAGGTACTCTCAGGACCTTCATGTCAGGATGTTTCCCTCTCATCGTAGAGCACACTGTGTTAAAAGCTGGTATGCTGCCATCGTTAGCTTAGTAGAACATACAGTACTTAGACTTTTCGGTGTTATATGTATTACATGGTCATAACAGGAGTTCATAATTGGTTGCATTGTAAATTTAATTACATAGTTTGCACACATAATATGCAAGCCATGCAATGCAGATGCAGTACATGTGTGAGCAATAGTGAATAGATCAGGGGCAAAGTACAGGATATTTTAAAAGATTTTGAGTGGAACATACTTATATTGTTTCTGTTTATTGCATTCTCAGGCCGGTTTAAGTATCTTAACACGAGATCTTGATCTCTTATCAAATCTTCTAGGCCAGTTTTAAAAACTAACATGGAAATAAATGTCAGTGTAAATAGCTAAACCAAAACGGCCACAGAAATTCAAGGCAGTAATGCTGTCATTAACTTCCAGGTGAAACGTGAAACACATGAATACTTAAAATATAAGATATATAAATCATGATTAAAACACCTGAAAGAAAAACAGAAAAAAAGATGAAAGTTAATCAAAACAAAGCACATACAATCTGCAAGAACTAATATCTAGATTTACATTCTGCTGTGAAGTCACAACACTGGTCTGACAATCTCAGATTTGATCAAATCAGGTAGAAAATGTTTTAAATTTCCTAATTTCACCTAATATCACCTTGGCACATGTTAATGTTTACACCATGCATTTCAATGATACAGAAACATGGTTAAAATTTACTGTTTCTTTGCGACAGTTTTTATTGAGTAACACACCTGCTCCCATTCCACTGTGTCACTTCTATTTTCTACTCTATGTGATTTATCACGTTGATGATCTCGTTTTGTTTTGATACTCTACTGTGGGAATACTAAGAATTTTTATTGAAGATGTTGGCTGAAGTTCAAGGAAGCAAAGAATGAGGTTCTGCTGGATTCCACACAACATTCATAAAACTTTACATATATATATATATATATATATATATGTAAAGTTTTATATATAGATATATAGAGGTTTTATTTTACTTGTCAAGTGTAAATGTTCTACATCACGATAAAGCCCAGAGAAGTGATGACAATGCAAAATTCCTGCCAAAGAACAATTTCTGGTATTTTAAGTGTGAATAGGATTTCCTGCAAACTGAACGGTGGCCTCTTTGTTTGATGTGATCTTATGTATAATCTGTGCGTGAGTGAGTGAGTGAGTGAGTGAGTGAAAGAGCAACAGAATGTGTGCTATTGCCTTTTTAAATATGTCCTTTTCAGGCTAGGCTATATTTAAAGGGTCAGTTCACTCAAATTATTTAAAAAAAAACATATAGTTGTATCAAACCATGCAGACAGATTTGGTTTTTGGTCTATCTCTTAAGATTTTTCCCACCATCCTGATACAATGGAAGTGAATAGGTTGTGGTGCTCACAGCAACATTTAAAAATCAGTAGTAATGTTTCTTTCGTGTTTTATGTGTTTTATAGTGACAATGTCCCTGATACTGCACAGACAAAACTGTAAACATTTCAGTTTATTAAAATTAATTAATGTAGAATTACTTCACATTAAGGTTATGTTTGTCGTTTGTCTGTCTGTCTGTCTGTGTGTGTGTGTGTGTGTGTGTGTGTGTGTGTGTGTGTGTGTGTGTGTGTGTGTGTGTGGGTGTGTGTGTGTGTGTTTGTGTGTGTTTCATTGGAGTAGATGCACACTTTGTTTGGATGCATTTCGGCGTAAATGACAATGAAAGGTTCTGATGAAGCACTAGATTAAATTCCGGGTAGTTAAAGAGCAGGTCTCTCTTGATTCCTGGCATCATCCCTACTGGAACAGCATCTTTGTGAAGAAATATTTGTCTTTGGAGAGAAGGAAAACAACACTAAAAGGTTTCTTATGAAATGTCTTCAGTTAATGAACTGCAGGGTTTCACTTCTAGGCACATTTGAAGTATAGTAAGTGTAGTGTACAAGACTAAAGTCAGTGAGAAAAAAAACACCAGTAAGTACTAAATTATAGGGTTGGTTTAATGGTTTATGCTGTCGCACATTCAAAAAGCAGAAAGAATAATGCTTCAAAGAGCTTTTCATTTCATTATTCATTTCAGTAAAGAGTGATTGTGAAATCTTGCTGGAGAACAACTTTGGAATGTATCATTCCACACATTAACAATAAAACAATGGCATCCATGATTGTCATGTAGAGCAACCCACCCACTCACCTGATCAACCTGCATGGTAGCATCCAGGTGCAGCATTTCAGACTGGATGGAATGGGTGGAAACTAAATGACAGGGGGGTGGGTGCTCAGGTTGAAAAAGCTCTACCTTTCTGCTTGTGTGAGACAGAGATCCAGAGGAGGCTCGACACCACTCCGCTCTGACAGCGCCAACACAGCTGACTTTAACAGGTGAGGACGCAATATGGTGCAGGAAATGATTCAACTCTACTTCTGATTTCATGTTCATTGACTATGCAAGCTAAGGGCTCATTACAAAGTCATTCTGACTTCTGACTTTGTCATTCTGAATTCTGACTTTGCTTTCATTTTCTATGCATAATGAATTTGACCTGGTTAATTGGTGCTGGCACATCTTCAGAAAGATTGATCATAAGAGATTAAAACACTGAGTGCAGGTCAAAATGTTAAGAGGAGTACAGTGGGATGGGGAATGACACTGTAAACAGAGTGAGATCACATTCAGAGTGAAAGTGTGGATGGTGAATATGCAGTCTATGTGCAGGAACAATGTTACATAACAGGATGAAATTATCCTGTTTCAATGTTTATCTGTGCTCTTAATTCTGATCCAACTGAACATACAGTAGTTGTTCAGAGGGGTTGGTGACAGGCAATAAATACTTTTTTGTCACTTGTCCCTTTTACATTCTGAGTGAGCTGTTTCCGAGCAGAATGCAGTTTTACGGGTTGTGTATGAGATGCAGGGTCATTAAACAAGTCTGTAGTCACTGGTGGAGACAGAGACAGAAAAATACACAGACAGGACGCAAACACAGGACATCACAGTTCTGTACACAGTGATTTCTGTTCTATTTGCATTGATGTTTAAAAAAAAATTTTTTTTTAGAATAACCTCATCCTCAAATCATTTCATCAGGTTGAACGTCGAAGAAAATATTAGCATCATGTCAAAAGGTGAGTCACACTCAAAACCAATATTTCATCCTTTTATTAGATTAAAAATGTCATACAAGCATTCCTGGTATCCCAGAATATCCTGACACAGTGTGTGTGTTGTAGATGTTGACAGAGGCCAGGTGTTTAGAACCACCAGGGTGCGGACTGTACTGAAGAATGATGGCAGCTGGATCCAAAAATCTAGTCAGGAAAAAGATGAGCAAGATGAAGCACGGTATGCTCAGCAGTTATGGTGCAACATCAAAAACAGAGTGTTGATTTAAAGCGGTAACTGAAGCTGTCATGTCTTCCTGCCTCTAACTGATGTGCTGTGGTGTAGCAAGGCGTCACTCCTATTGTATCCTTAGAAAACAACATGACAGCTATGGGGTCTGTCTTAGTTTTGTCTAGTTTTTCTAATAGTGCTACCTCACCAGCAGCACTGTTTTTTGGAGAAAGAACTGGTGCAACAATCATGTTGCACATTTACAACACCTTTCTCTGTCTTGCAGGACAGACCATGCTGTGGAGACCAAACCAGCTCCAGTCAGGCAGAAATCATATGTCCTCTCCACAGCCATGAAATTTGAGTGAGTACAATTGTACAGATGTGAACATTAATTAAAAAGACTAATTATCCATTGAGAAGTAAATGGACACCAAGATTCTTACCATATTATACAGTAAACATACAGTATGTGATCTGATTAGGTAATATTTGGTAAACATAATTTTAACAGCTGTGTCTGAAGCAGATGCTACTAAATGTATCATTTTTGACAAACAGTCATTCTTGTGTAGATTCAACTAACAATTTAGCTACAAAACATCTGACATACATATCTCTATTGTTTATAAAATGTGCAGAGACCCCATGCTGATATGAGAAACAATGTGGTGGCAGTTCTGCAAGTCAAACTTAAACTGTCCTTTGACTCTGTTGTGTCAGTGAATAATAACTAAAAATGTTTAAAGCATCAGGCACAAATCACCATCTGTGATATTAACATAAATAAACATTAACTTAAGTCTGGGGCAGCTCTGCTGCATCCATAAAGACCTATAGCCTGGAGAAGAATTGTTAATTTTTATACAAACCTTAACCTTTTGGCTCGAGGCACAGAAACACACAACTGCTTTAACAGCTCCCTTTCTTGTGTTTCCTGTTAGCTTCCTAGTGACCATTATAAAAATATGAATCCTCAGTTTGAACTGTACAAATATTTTACCAGCCTTAAATTTTTTGTGGTCATGACAAGGTTGTGTTAAATACTAATCTCATTGTTTTGCTGAGCATAAAAAATCTGTAATGGTATTCAGCAATTATAAATGAATACAGCCATATTTAGAATGATCTACTTTATATTTAAATAGACCGTAAAGATGTTCTGAAACAGTCATTGACTGTTCCCACAGTAATTATGATTAATAACACATATAGTGTTGTTCCCTGCCTGGGTAATGTTTTTAGTTGTACCTATTGCATTGATATTACATCACCTGACTTTAATGCGTACATGACAGACACACATGCACAAGTACTAGTGAATTATTAAAGGTAAGGACACATTTGTGCTGCAAAATATTTTTTAAAAATCCTTTATTCTGGATTTTCTCCCTGAGGTCACACTGTGGGCTTCCTTCTACTGAGAGCATAGGAAACAGTACATATTTGAACAAGCCTATGTATTTAGACACCCCAGGGTGCGACTTTCCTCAATAGTTCTCAAAAATTTTACACAATACATTCCATTTATAGCTATCACCAAGCACATTTTGAATACTCAAGCCAAGAAATAAAAGATTCACATCTGAAGTGAGTGAGTGGTTTCAAAGACGTGTTATCATTTCTCTTCCCATGTTTACCCCTCTGTTCTGTCAGTCTATTTCACAGCAAGCTTGAATACCAAAAAGAAGCATCACTTAGCAACAAGTTTTATAAATGGATATTGTTTTTGGAAATCCTCTGGATATTAGACCATAATAAATCCTGCCAGATTTCAACATGTGACTACATTTTTTACTTCTGCATGAAGTGTATCAAGATATAGATAACACTTAATGTGGCTGAGTTTTGAATCTGTCCTTTTATCTCTGTTAACGTTATAAGAACAATTCTTTTCTCTAGATCTTCAAATCTGTAATTCAATAAATACACAGTGAATGAGTACTTGTTTGATCAGATTGAACAGAATTAGAAAGCACGCTCAGGGCTCATAACTTGTAGACTTGCCCACCGCTTGCTGTCAAGGAGCCACGAATATAGAAATCAAGCACAACACTGTCTATATTTATACTGTTTGATGTAGCTTATCGAGCTTGCTCACCGCCAATCTCATCCAAGAAAAGTGTCAGAGCTCAAGTTAAATTTGTGATACAGCAGTAGTTCCCAAACTTTTTGACTTGTGATCCCCTAAAATGAAGCAATGTCTACTTCTGGCCCCTCCTCACAGGTTATGGCTCAGTCTCTGCTCCACTAGCCCCTGTAACTCAATGCAGCCTCTCACTCAGCCTTTCTTTCACCGGTCTTTGTGATGAAATGAAGCGTGTTCCTGGGGTTTACTTTCCATATTCTAAGACAAATCAGACTCGTCACCTGTGTTGAGACATGACATTTAGCTCACGAATGTCTAGTGGTTATGGGAAATGGTGTTAAAAGCAGGTAAAAACAAAAATATTGAATAAACAACGATATTAGTAGTCACCCAAACACATGAAACCAGCCACATGACATGCTGTTGAGAAAAGCTCTGTCCCCAGCTGTATTTTACAGCTACATAGTTACAAATGTCAATGGGATTTTGAAAGAGGTTCTGTTCTCGTTTCACTTCAGTTCTCTACGTGATGAGTTGTGAACAGCTCAAAGTAAATGTGTTTTTTCCTTCCCAGATAGTTTCATTTGAAGGAGCTTGAGGTCTGAACAATAAGACAATATTCAAAAAAAGAAAACATAATGCTGTACAGCAGAAACATGGCCCAGAATTCTCTTTAATATTCTTTTAAAAATGTTTTGACAGTTTTACCTTGGGGCACCGGCAGGCTGTGAAACAGTATTGTGCAGCATTCAAATATTATTACTCAATTACTAAATCTGAGCACAACTTTGACGAGTAATTAATATCAACACACCCCTTTCTTCTTTGCCAACTAACAAACAGAGCACTCTGCAGGCAGGCTCTTTCCTCAGAGGTACTGATGGCGACTGAAAGTCTTGGGTAGTAATGAGCTACAAGGAGGGTCCGGCAGCTGTGAGGTCTCCTACAGTGTGCACCCCCTGTGCTGATGTGGACAATGTGGATCCAGCCGCTGGGCCCATGCTGTGTGATGGCATTAAATGACCCTCGTTGATGACAAAGGGGTTCAATGGGTAGATACCACATTTCCTAAAGCCTTCCTTGACAATCCTGACACCTTCGTCTTCCTTAGCTACCTGATACGTCCCTTTAAATACACCTGAGAACTCCTTCTTGCTTATTGCAAAGTGAGTATCAGTGGCACACCCATCACCTATGAGTGATGCAAAATGCTGCCTCAGGAGCACAAAGAGACCCGCGTCTAGTGGCTGCAGGACGTGAGAGCAATGAGGTGGAAGGCACAGAAGGATGACGTCCTCCTTGCGAGCTGCCTCCACCACCTCAAGGTTCACTGGCGACTTGTGGCCATCAAAAATCAGCAGCAATGGACGCTCCTTCGGTGCATGCACAAGAAAATGTTTGAGGAACCATTTCTTAAAGAGGTCAGAGTTGATACACCCCAAGTCTGACCATCCATAGAGGGCATTTGGTGGCCCTTGTGTCTTGTAGCATACTCCTCCGGGATAGGCCTTTGAGTAGATAATAAATGGGGGAATGTCCTCTCCAGCTGCGCTAAAGCAAGCCAGGACGGAGATGTGGTCCCTCGAGCCTGGCATTGGCTTGTAGCCCAGACTGGCAGGTTTGGGGAGAATCACCCTCTTCCTGCCCAGCTGAAAGCCTGTCTCATTGCAGTTGAAGATTTGGTGAGGCTTGTCTCTGAGTCCGTGAGTGTCTATGACAGTGCTCAGTAAATTAAAAAACTGATCCACCGCTTCTTTTCTCACACATACTGTCCTCCCACGGACAACATTGTCTGCTGGCTGAATGGTAATATTCTTTTCTTGCCGTTTTCTAAAATTGAGCCACCAGGTCTGGCCCAGTTTGGAAAATGCCACCCTCCGATGCTGCCGTTTATAAATGGATGAGGCAAAGGACACCAGCTGCTGCTTAGTAAGTGGGAATCCATGCTTGGACATGTACAAGGAGAACTCCACTAACAGCTCCTCATCTGCAGAGGTTATAAGCTGAGCTGGCCCGCTGCGACTCCCTGGTGTCACCCGTCCACTGACTCTGTCCCCCAATGAAGATTTAGGGACTCCAAATTCCTTGGCAGCCTGTCTCACCGTGCACCTCCCCGACTTCACCTCGATCAGTGCACGTTCCATGGCCTCCTCTGTCCACTTCTTCTTCTTCTTCCTCCCGATTTTGTCAAGATGATTTCTCGACGGCATTTTTTCTAGGATGGCACAGGAAATGCAGGCATGAATCATGTATTAAACCAATACGATAGCAACAAATGAATATTTATTATTAAAATCACAAAACCAGATATAACCAATAATAGTTAAACACTTGTCCACACTTTCACCTTGCCAAAAATGAGCCACGCATACAGCTCTATCTGGCCCTTTTCCTTTCTTGCAAAGGGATCATGTCACTGCTTCCTTTTGATCTAAGTTTTGTTAACAAAAAGGCTGTCCTATACGTTGTGTCTTACTGATGCAATGCTTAAGAACCGGAGCAACAGGACCTCCTGCATACAGCATTTATTTTCACTGCATAATGGATGGATGCACAAGGCTGACATTGGCATATGATTTGCTAGTTTAAGTGGAATTTAAATAAAACTAAAAATATATCTCACCTGATTCTCTGTTGCTACACCACTCAAAGGCATTAAGAACCTAAGTCCCCCTTTCTGATGAACTTCTAATCAATTTATGAAGACAGAAAAAGCAGTCATTGTGCCAATTTTAGTCCACCTAGAACACACAAACCAGCTCTAGATCAAAAACTGCCATTCATGGACTTGTTAAATTAGTTTCACGCCAATAAAACTCTAATTTTATAGAGAGGACAGAAATAAATGCTGCATTTTCTTCATCCATGCCACAGATACCCACATCTAGATGTAAAATACCTGCAACAATGCAGACTAGTCAACCCTGAAATGGATTACACACGGATTGTATAAACACTTAAAGATCCTGCTCAGATCTGTCTGACTTTCATTGTAATTATCAAAACAAAACAAGGTGACTTCACGGACAGGTTTTTTTAAACTGACTCCATATTAATCTTGTCCAGGTTTACCTGATTTTTTTAGAGACTTGATTGTTGCCTGGATGCAGAAAAACAGTAACAGTGATAGTAATAATAGTTGGTATATAATCTAAAATCATCTAGATACTCTTACTAATTTAACCTCAGGTTCGTGATGAAGGCACCCGTTAATTAAGCTACTAAAAATTATACTGTAGATGCACTTTCTGTCACAGACAAAGCTGTCTTTATCCGTAGAGAAACTGTTAAAAGACTCACTGACTTACTGGTCTTGAGGTCGTCGTACTAAGTTTTAAAGGGGGACAGAAAACAACTCGTCCTGTGTTGGTTGTTGTGACGCCGCGGACCGCAACGCTTCTGTTTGGAAATTAACGTTACAACAATGTGAAGCCTGGTGGTTTTTTGAAACAAAATTACGATTAAAAACACAAACCATGTGGCAATGTTTGTTGTGCAGTCGTTGCTACATGTCTGCCAGTTACACAAAGTTGAAATTACGCGGTTACACTTTACGTTGACCATGCATTTTCCTGCCTAGCATGTTATGCTGCTTCCCAAGTCAGTAGACAGCGGAACAGGACCGGAAGTTCAGTGAAGCGGTCTTCAAAATAAAATATGAAAGTTCCCGTTACCAAAATAAGTGTCCAACTCTACAGATACACAGATAAATTCAATAAATTGCATCACAATGCTCAAATGCACGTGAAAACTATAGCTACAAAAGGGATAATGTGGAAATTTTAAGAAATTAATAAAAGTAAAATAAAACATTTAATGCAAAGGTTTTCCCTAAATATATATGTCCATTCCATTTTTAATTTTTAGTGTTATTTAACACTATCTTACCTAGTTATATATAGAGTATTTGATATCATTTATGCACTATTCTGTGTTTTTGATTAATAGGCATTGACCTATTAAGGTACTCATTTGTATACACGGCCGTCAGTCGTTCATTTTAGTAAATAATGAGTGAAGCACTTGACATACTTTCAGTGTTTAAGCTTCAAGTGGGCCATTACCTTTCAATCGGCTGTAAAAATGCAGACAAATCAAGAGTTACATCAGTATCATAATTGATGCATAATTGACTTGAGTCCAAGTTTATGTGCCTCTAGTGTATTACCAACAATTGTAATGAACAAGAGACACAAACTGGGACTAAATTGAATACATGTAACTGGATCACATTCCTTGTTCAACGAAACAACTCGGTGATAGTTACATTGTTAATATTGTATTGTTATGTAACATTGTGTTGACATTTAATGGTCTATTTGTCAGCCTTGCTTCATCAATCAAAGTAGCTTTTATTTTACCACTCAGCTCATATGCTGGTGTCCTATAAAAGTACAGTGTAATAAGTTATGCTCACCTTCTACTGAAGGTCACTGTTTTTCAAATTTAACACTTTTTGGTTGAGGCTGTAGATGAATCTCTCACATATAGTAGTGTCATATTTTGTAATATTGTAAATTTACTTTATCCATTGCCCAACCCTTGACATCAGATCTGAGATCCATCCTTGAAGTTGAAACATATGGAACAGTTGGCTTTGATAGCAATTTTAAGATAAAGAATTTTTAGGCTGATGAAGCTGATGTTAATTGGTAATTAATAATTTGCGTCTGTTTTGTATTTTGCTACAAGTTTATAAATGCCCAGGTGTGTTTCTTATTCTTACCCTGTAGATCAGTAGATTCTCCACTGAGCCCTCCTCTCGAAAAGACACAGCTCTCTCCATCTAAAGGGTCTGTATATGCTGAATTTTAATTGATAGTAAACCATGAACAACTACACCGTACTCCTCTACAAATCCACTTGTATCAAAGTTTGCATTATTAATCTCAGTTGAGCCTGAACCTTTAAATCAAATTATGAAATGCTGGTGATGGTAGATGTATTTATATTGCAAATTCATTATTTTTTGTTCTTTGCTTTAGTGATTCAGCTAATCAGGCAAATGCTGATGTTATCCCTCTCCAAAATGATGCTCAGCCTGAGGGGTCAACAGTGGAGACCACAGACTATACAAAGTTAGTATATGAAGGCATCTCTCCACTGACTGTAAATACAAGTATGACATTTAAAGATGCTAAAGATCTTTTTTTTTTATCATATAGTTAGTAATAAATGACTTCCATTACAGGCCCCAAGCAGCCACAGAAGAACTTATCCAAAATGGTAAAGTACAAATAGAAAAAATTGTTGCCAACACAGCTGCAGAAAACAAGGAAGAATATGCTGATACCAAAGTCGATCAGTCAAACGTCGAACACAGTGAGGCCAAAGTCTCTGCAGTTGCTGATGTGAAAGATCCTGTTGCAGAAATCTCTGACGTGGCTGGTACAGGGGAGAGTAAAGACCCTGCAGAGGTCCCTGCTGTTCTTGCAGTGAAGGCTCAAGAGGAACCTTCAGTTGAAACAGACCCAGCAAATGCAGCACATTTGGAGGATACAGGAGTAGAATCAACTGAACCATCTGCAGAGGGGAGTTCTAACAAATGTCCTCCAGAACATGCTGCAGAAGATATTTTTAAAGCCGTAGCCGTGGTTGTGGTGGAGTCATCACCTGATACGATTGATGTAACACCAGGAGAAGAGGCTGCTCTCCAAAACCGCGTGGAAGCAGACCCTGACTTACTGGTAGAATCTGTATCCAAATCACCCACTCACTGTGCTACAGAAACTGCTGCAGAGGGGAGTTGTGAAAGATGTCCTCCAGAACAAAGTACAGAAGAAATTGTTGAAGCTGTAGCTGAGGTTGCGGTGGAGTCATCACCAGAGACCCCTGCTGTAAATAATGCAACACCAAGAGACAAGGCTGCTCTACAAGACACTGTGGAACCAATCCTTGATGCTGTATCTGAATCACCCGCTCAATCTGCTGCCGAAACTACAGTCAACCGTGTGGAGTCTGAAGTTGAGTCTGCAGCTCCAACAGAACCGGATTTAAAGGTCAGCGCTGAAGAGGTAATTGAGTGTGAAATCCAGCCTGTTAATAATACTGTTGTTAAGCAAAGTGCTGAGCCAGCATCTGAGAATTCAGCAGTTGGTGTGATGGAGTTGAGCATCGAGGATGCTCTTGAACCTGCTTCAGACACTGGAGCAGATAAGTTATGTGACAGAGCCATTGAACTGACTGATGAATTAGATGTTGAGCCGCCCACAGCTGAAGCTGTTCCTACACCTGTGGAAGATCCAAAACAATCCCACTCAGAGGAGTCAAAAGTGAACCAGTCTGACGATACCAACACGTTAGTAAAGTCTTATTAAACCAGACAATCACACCCACTGTTTTTCATATAATATTCACATGTTTTTGCTTGTGCTATGAAATGCATCTTATTGTTTGCTGATGACTTACTTCTGTAGCACTGAAATGTTTCAAAAGCCCAGGGAGGAGCTACCATCCAAACACACTCTGAAATACACCAGGTAACATCTCACTGTAAAGACAACAAAATTGGAATTTCAAACCTTATTTTAGTTATACAAAGTGAACACTTTATTAGTAGTGCAACACATTTTCATGGTACAGACCCAAAGTTCATACAAGAAGATTAAATTGGCTGATAATCTTTTCTCACTTTCTCTCTACCGCAGTGATGGCAGAGCTATTTGTTCATTCTGTGACCAAGTAATTGATGGAAACATCAAGATCTCACTCAATGAGCCTCTGGTAACCTGCCACCCTGACTGTCTGCAGGTTTGTCCTTTCAGTTAGGAAAGATACTGTTCTTACCGTATGTATATTGATTGACACACTCCTGTCATTGCATAATGTTAATGTTGATATGCTTTGCAGTGTGGAGTGTGTGCTAAGGTCCTGGGAGATCTGCTGACCCCAATGTTCCTGCATGACCAAGTGATCCACTGTGGTGGCTGCTTTGCAAAAGCTCTCAAGGCCTGAAGCCTAACTGGGACAAACATGTTGTTGGAGGACTCAAAGCATACCGTGATTAATGTGTTGTACGGGCTGAGAACCTCACCACTGTTGCCTTAACTCGGTTTTCTGTCTTTTGACCCAGTTTTCCTACAAAAGGTTTTTTAGGACATAAGAACTCTGCAAAAAGGTTTGGCTGCAGCAAATTATTTATTACTTTAACTGCCAAAATGCTTGAATGAAATACTTTGCGGTCAACAAGAGTGCTTTTATTGCAAGATGCTGTATAAGGTTAAAATAAAATCCCAGTTCAATGCTTCAGATTTAAATGGTTTAATAAGCCTTAATTTCAAATAAGCACAAACACTAAGTAGCAGGGCTACACATCAAACACTTGGAGGCAAGTTATTAAAGCATCAACACCTCAGTGACATAAAAACAGCTTATTTTAAGCAGTAACTGAAAAACCTCCATGAAATGCATATAAATATTGTTTCCCCCCCTACAGAGTGGGATTTAAACAAAGCAAAAATGCATTATGAGGGAATGCAAAGTGCATCTATTGTAAGCGAAAGCAAAGAGGGAGATGGGAGGACACATTTAACCTTTGCAGAGAACTTTGGTACGTTCAGCTTCATTTGCTTTAGTTCACACAATGTTGATACACAAGATGGTAATAATGAGGCAGCAACAAAATCATATTCAGAACCTATGTATGCATCAGTAAGCACTGAATGGTGTACAGGCAGTTACGATTTGCGAGGCAAGCTGTCATTACTCTTAATTATTCATGAAACATCATACATCACAATCTGACAACAGCATCGGCACCAATGAAGCCTCAGAGAAAGGAAAAAAGAGAGAAACAACCTGCAAGACGAAAATGAACAACAAAGCGAAGAGAATCATCTGAGAGAAGGATTTGAGGAGAAGATCAGAGCTCACTGCTGGGGGTGAATCATCTTCATCTCTCTGTCTGTTGTTCATACAAAACAGTGATGAGAAACACGTGTCTGTTATTGGACAGGTCTAAAGAAATAGTAGCAGGTGATCCAGGTTTGAAAGTTGCTGTTCCCAAGAGAATGAATGGAAATCTAGCGTTCTCATAGCCAGAAGATTGGGCTGACTGGGATGGAGATGTTGTACTTAGCGGATTCCTTTCCTGCCCAGAAACCGCAAGACTGCATAATTGTAGGTTGTAGGAACCAGATACAGAAACTGCAAAGAAGACAAGGCAAAAAAACAATGAAAAATGTGGTTTGCACATATGTGCTGGGATAATATTAAAAAGCATGGACAGGCAAACGGGTAACATTCATTTGGCTCCACTACAAAGGTTAAAAAACAAAAAAAAAAAATCATCGTTTTAAAGGGTCAGTTCATCCAAATGATAAAAAAAAAATTGTGGTGTCTAGCTGTACAGGAAGTTTGGGTTTCAGATATCAGTTTCTAACCTTTCTGCTGTTACTACAGTGAGACTGAGGTGGCTGGAATTTTGTTTGCGGTGATCACAATGGGAACTAAGACAACATCCCTGTTGTCAGATAATCCACATACTTTGCTGAAACCACTGTTCATAGGAACTATTTGCTCAGTAGAAAGTTGTGTTAAAACTCTCCAGAGCAAGGTCTGTGGATCATAGACAGGGACATTGTTTTTTGGAGAGAGGTGTTGAGTCATTTTTCAAAGCTACTTAAAGCACCATAAACTAAATTTAAATCACTTACATTGTCTTTTGGTGGCAGCCAAAATCTCAGAGATAGACATTATGAAATGTAACCAAATAAAACCAAAACTATCTGGATTGCTAAATACCACAAATATCTCTTTGTTATAATTTGGGTGAACTGATGCTTTAAATGTGGTTTAACTGCTGGTATTATCCTGACCAGAAAAGTATTGCTCACCAGTGCTAAAAGAGTGACTCCAGCACCAGCAAATGCAGCTATGTACAAGTCATAGGTGACGTAGAACTGTAAGATATAAGAAACACAGGTCTGTTTAACATATATTCAGAGAATCGAACCAGTCCCTTGTTTGTTTGTATCATTCCTTTGTACAAAGTACTCACACACGCATTAATAATTTAGAATTGATTGTACGTTGCAGACTAATCTTACTGTGAAGATGCTGACATAAAATACTGAATATTGGATATTGGATTCTTCTACTCACTTCGCTGGTTTTGCAAATAGATGCCAAGGTCATTCCACAAGCCTTGCCTGGCATCGCATTCCAAGGAAGAAGACCTTAAATGAAGACATGACGTAAGTGATGTATCTCTTACTATTGCTGAATGATGATGAGTTGTGAAGCATTTAAGTTCCCGCTTGCACACAACACATCACGGAACCACAAGTAACAAAATAAAGATAAAAGCATAGTTATCTTAATTATTTCATAACTAATTCAACAAGCAGTTTTGCATCCACTCCCCAATGATTAATTCATTGATTTCAAGGAAACATTAACATTCTCATCAGGTGGACATGTGGTCACTCATTATAAGAACAACGCACCATACTGCCTGGCGTCCATGCAAATCCAGCCATGCTGATTAATGCTGGGGGTTGTTTCAGCCAGGATGTTGATGTTGTGGCAGGTCTGCTCCATGTTGAACAAGAAGAAGACTGGGATAGCAGTGAAGGCAAACACTGCCAGCCAGATGAAGGCCAAGATGTACGTCACTATGATAAACTGTTGAGAAAATAAGTGCAGCACATAAGGTCAGAGAAATGTGGCGTGGAAACTCAAGTCTCAGTATGATAAATGTGCTGTCATTAAATCAGCTATCAACCATAATTCACAGTTCTGTGTAGAAAAGGTAGAAAACACAGAGCATTTCATTGAGGTTAGGAGCTAAAACAAACCAGAATTCAGAATTTTAGTAATGGCCTGATGTCATATTTCCACTCCCCCTTTATCTCCTCCCCCACTCTCCCTCCCCCATTACCGTCAGGCTGAGGCAGCGGCCACATTGGGTGCTCCTGAATTCACCGAAGGTCTGCTTAACAGCGCTTGTGGTGTAGAAGCCCTCAGCCAGCAGCAGGATGCCGTAGAGGAAGAAAAATGATGCCAGGCCATAGATCACATACTGGAAATATTTGATACTGAGATAGTCACAGGGAGAAATCAGTCAGACAGTTGAAATGAAGAAATTCTTGAGAGGTCAGAAATCACAATTTTAGAGAATTTAATGCAGTATCACTCACAAGGAGGCCATGACCTCATAGTCCTGAATGTTGCGGGCGAAGTAAGTCGAGACGAGGACTTCGGTCTGGGCCAAAGCTTCGTGCCCACAGCCACAAAATAACGCCATGCCAGCATAGCACAGCAAGGTGGCCACCAGGGATGGGTAGGGCACTGCCCCAATGCACCGGATACAGCAATCATAACAACCTGAGGGGGCATAATATATCAGCACACAGGCGGCACACACCGCACATATTACCACACAACACATCTATGCCACGGTGGGGAACCCTTTCACCCTGTCAGGGAGTTATGAAAAAGGCCTTGCTCTGTCTGCAAATCCATGAGCACACACCAAGCTCCACCAACAGGCAAAAAAGCAACAGAAAAAAAATTAGACAGCAGGGATAAACAAGAGTTCAAGCAGCGATTCCCAATAAAGCGTCCAAACAAAACAGTCACCACTGACTTCACGACAATATCATGCACTTCTTCATGTGTAAGCTGTGCTGTTGAAGCAGGTAGCAAATATCCAGAGTGTTAATAAATGCATTGGCAGAAATGGGATAGAGGAAAGCACCTAAGGCTTTGCAAAGCCAAGGCTGCCTGACCGGAAACATTTGCTGCTTCTGATCGTGTACTCCACAACAAGAAAGATCCCAGTGCCAACCAGTGATGTACAATGCTGCCTACAAGGTAATGCTACTGTAAAATAAGCCTCTCTGCGCTGATTTCATCCGTATGTGAAAGCTCCTCTGCTCGTACCAGCACCTCACAGCTGAACCCCTACTAACTCAGGTCCAGCCCTCTTTCTCCAGAGGTTACTGGCGTCACCAGGCGAGCGAGAGATGGTGGTGAAACACTGGCTTCAGGGCCCTGAGGAAAGAGCTTCTCTTTGTGGCTGCAAATACAATATCCTTTGTCTTTGCCACGATTAGGGGGGGAACAAAGGGCAGCGATGTCAAACAAACAAAGACCATAGTGCCACAATACACACATACACAGTAGTATGTGCTGACAGGGGGGTCACCAGGATCGTCTTAACACCACTGGCAATGTCACTACTCAGGCCATCCTCCATCCACAGCTGGCTGAGACTGGTACCATGGCACTGAGTGTCAATGCCGGCGGGGGCTGAGTTCAAGTGTTCAAAGAGTGGGTGGAAGCATAATGAACGAGAGGGGCAATTTGAATATCTTCACAACAACAACAACAACAACAACAACAACAACAACAACAACAACAACAACAACAACAACAACAAAACAACCCCACTCAAAACTACGATTACACATTGTGAAATTCTTAAGTGCCTTAGGTGACTATATCAGTGTGACAAATCATTTCTGAAAATCACAAATTATAGGATTTTAGTTGGAGGAACAGAGGCTGTGAGTTAAACAAACTGCCACGAAAGTATAAATAGTAACAGCAGGAAGACTGAGTCCCAAAAATGATAGTGCCTGCAGACGCCCACACTTCAGCTGTGCCCTGCTGCAACAGTGATGCAGTGATAGAGTGATACAGGCCATCATAACCTCTATCTGAAGTCAGTGCAAAAGGTATCTGAGCATTTCACAGTAGACACCAGATAATCAACCATGATGGCAAAGCTGTTTAAAAATGTATGAAAGTTAAAGTACAAGTTGTTTGTCAGTGAGAAACAAATGTTGGCACAAGTTGTTTGGGTCCGCAGTTCTCATGGAAAGTTGGTAATTTATGCCAGTGACACATGTGGGAGTTTCTGACCTCTTTCACATGAGTGACCTGGCATGACCTTGGCATGATGAGAGTCTCTACCCATCTTTGTCAGCCACTCGGGTTCCAGTCTAGTTTATGGTTAAAAGGGTCAGGGGAGGTAATCTTCTGAAATTACCTCCTTCTTCTGAAATCCTCATTAAGGCTTAAACTATGTTGTATATTAAGAACAAGGGCAAACAGTGAATCAGTGATGGTCAATAATCCATTCAATCCATATAAAATGATCAATAATCCATATGTGGATTTCAAAATACTTTTAATAAATGAAAACACAGGGTTAATTTGCAGTAAATCTTGCCCACAGTGCATGAGGGCAACATGATGTCAAAGGACAGAAAGGACATATTAAAAGCAACGTTAGTAAGTTATTGAAATTCACATTTTCAAATCACATTAATAATAGATGATAAGAGTTATTAAAAATTCTATGCACTCACCCATGTCCAGAAAGAAGTGTGGGGTTATTGAAGTTTTGCTGGGTGGCTTTGTGACTGTGATATGAGGATATGAGAAGTTATTCCCCGCCACTCCTATATGAATCTGACTCGCGCTTTTGTCTCATCAACAATAGATAGACCACATCTCCCCGAGTCACATCTTAAAGTCACAAAGTCCCATTTCAGCTGCCAGTCATTATTTATGGAGCAATGGGTTCAGGAGTGGGGACAGAGAGTGGGTCATAAATTCTAACATGAACTTTTTTTCTTGGTATTCGGTGAATTTTAATGTAGTTTAGCTGTTCTCACTAATACTTGTGAAAACCTTTGATTATACTATATCTATTTTTTGGGTAATTTAGTGGGAATGGGAGTTTTTGCATACAGTATATCAGCCACAAAGTATATGAATTTAATTCATACACAAATTTAAAGTAATTTTCATTTCATTTTTACAGATGAAAGATGAAAGTGTTCTGTTTTCTTTAATTTAATTTACACAATGCAAATGAACTTACACTAGTATCCAGTAATTTTCATGTTCTCACCACAGAATTCTTAAATTGTTGTGCACATTCATTTGTAGGGAGCACGGTGTTTCATTAACATTCAATAGTTCATCTGTTTATCACCAACATGCACGTGTTGTTTATCTACACACACACGTTACATGTCAGCACGACACAATAAACATCTCTGAGGGTCCTTGGAGCAGCATCTTTAGAAACGCACACAGATAAGAGGTATGCACAGACAAAAGAGTGAAATAAATCGGAGCGCCAGTGACTGACATTGATGAAGTTGACTAACAAGGGTGACATTGACGGTCGGGTCCAGCTGCTGCCCTCCTTCCCTCCCTCCCTCAAGTTTGACCCAGTTGATGTCAAAGCTGGGTTCAGCACAAAGGAGCCAGTGTGGATCAGGAGAAAACACCACTTTTATTTGGAGAAGCCCTCATCCTATTTTTGCTTACCATTTTACACCCATGACAAACAACTGCGCATAAAAAGGGACATTAATAATAATATCATTATATAACATTGTATTACTTTATAGATTTAAATTAAATGCTAACAATAATTTAACAGACTCTTTGTAAGTTACCATCACAAACTCTGAGTTTATTTTGGGAGCAATAGAAACACTGCCATTTTATCAACTGGGCTAAAGATAATCATTCATGTGATAATCATGAGGTCTCTTCAAACATGACATTTGAGGGATTGATCTATTGTTGAACATAAATTCACTGCTTTTTAGATGGTGGGTTAAAAAAAAAAATAGCTTTGTAGATTTGTAAATTGTTTGGTTTGAGTTCCAGTCTTCCTGAGCTACACTGAGCAATAACAGATCAAGTAATTAGTATGTAGAAAAGATTAATGACACTGGCTTTGTTAAGCTGAAAATGAAGAGTGCAGAGGAATCATGCCTTTGAAATCTCTGGTAAAACCAAGAGAGAGTGAGAGAGAGCGAGAGAGAGAGAAAGAGATGAGAGGCATTAATTAACCTTTGTACTATATGTGAATGTGTATAATGGCTGTCAGCTTTACTTGTGAGATGTGAATAAGAAATAATGTTGACAATCAAAGGACAGGATGAAGTAGGAGGATAAGTTTTAGAGGCTCGCTTGCTTGGGTGACATAAAAAGAGAACTTATAAATAAACTATATTCCACAAAAAGAGATGCAGATGGTGGTCAGGGATGTGAGCTGCTCGGATGATGAATTATTGGGCAATACTTAATATGACTGCCAAACAGTCATTAGATAATGTATGAACTGATTGCACATTATTCTACAAGCTTTCAGCTAAGTAGCAATTGCTATCAGGATGCATATATCAAAGTATATTTTGCGTAATCAATAGAAAATTGTGCCTATATCATGGTCAGCACCATGGACAGCAGTGGCAGCATTGTGAGGGTACTATATATCAATGCATTGTATGTGACTGTGTTTGCAGTATGCGTATGTGATAGGGCACAGTGATCTGTCTGTGAGTCATTTTGTTAATTGTTTGCTGTGTGGTCGATACACTCGCCAATATTTACGCACTAAACATGGTAATATGCATGTGTTGATACAAGGGAGGAGGAAGCCCTGTAAAAATATTTGCACCATCTCCTATCTCTGTTATGATATAGTGTGTTATGTTATCTTGTGGCAAAAGAACAAACAGCCATCAAACAAACAAACAAGCACTTGGAGGGCAAAAACATGTCAGGCTCAGTCAGAAATGTATTCAATGGCAATGACCTCCCGAGGTGTATGCCTAAATTATTTGTTTTACCGCATGATTAAATAAGTATCGAGCTCTTCTCCACCAGGGTGTTTACGTGCTTGCGTGTGTTGATTGTCTTTTATGATAATCTCAGACTCTGTTGGCTGTGTGTTTGAAACCTGGAAATCTGCAACCAGTCATGGGTTTCAGTGTTTTCAAAGATAAAACCCAAAACAGCAGGGGGAGCACAGCAATAGCAGTTAGAAGAAGATTAAGGGAAGATGGAAAAACTGTGGTGTTGCAGGTAGTTGCACATAAAATTATAAGTGACGAGCAAGTAAGATGGAGAAACACAGCGGGGTTTGGATAGTGAAGTCACCACGACCATACAATAATTTGACCAATAGTGTACGTTCATCAGTGTCAGTGGCTGCTTGGTGCACGTCTGTCTGATAGCCATATGTAGGATTCAGACAACAAAATATCACTCCAATAATGGCCCTGACCTGACAGATGTAAGGAAGTGAAAATGGGCATTGTTTTATCTTGAGTCTTGTATCAAAGTGGACAAAAACCAACACCAACCATCCGGGATGCCTCAGAATATCTGTCAGTTACACAGCATTGTCCTTTGAAAAGTTTGCTGATGTTACCAAACCTAAGCCACCATAAGATGCTGGTCATACCAGACCAAGCAAGACTGTAGTGGTAAAACCTTTGAAAGTATGAAATTGAACAAGGGTTCCCTACATTTCTTATGAATTCTATTTTATTTTAGTAAAAGGAAGAATGTGTAATTTCTTTTTCAAAAATGAATCAGTCTTGCTTTAAAGGAGCTGAGAGCGTATTTCAACCTCTTGTCTTGTGAATGCAACGATGGCTGAAGCTCTAGACTGGTAAGTAAACAGCTGTTAATGCTAACATTGGCTACATAGCATTAGCAGAACTTACAAATAGCTCCTTTAATGCCAACACTAAACTAAACCTGAACCAAATCAATTTCATTCCCAAAATAAACCCAACCTGATTCTTTTTATACTAAAAGAGTACTCCACCAATTTAGAATTACACTCATTGCTGGACTCACAATAGACATGTCAAAATTGATGCAGCAGAACCAAAGATAGCATATTTTTTTATGCAACATTACCACTGACGGCTTGATTGGACATTCGAATGTGTTATGCTAGTAGTGGCTGATGTAGCCTTGAGCTGCTAGCCTCAGGCAGAGATGAGCAGGTCTGGTACAGAGGTCTGGTAGGCTCACTTCTTTCTAATTTTTTCGTTTTCAGACTTAGTCCTCAGTCCCAACCAATTTATATTCTATGCAGCTTCCTCTAGAGCCACAAAAAAAGCTTTATAAAACTTCTTCCTCTATAAAACTTTTTTTCACATTTGCAGTAGTACTTCCAAAGACCTGCAAACAGAGCGCGATGTGTTAAATTGGTGGAGTTCCCCTTTAACCCAAACTCTCAGGTTAACCCTGACCCAGACACTGTATAGCTGAGGACTACATTTCACACAATTTTTGATTATCACTTGAAACAGTAGACTTTTAAGGACACATTACAGACACTTATTATGCCTGCATTACCCATGCAAATGGTGATCAAATCCCACCTTTTGACAAGACTCATCTTTAGTTCGAAAAATCTTTTAATAGTTGTCTCATTTAGATTAAACAACATTATGATAGGTTCAAAGGAATCAAATCTTAAAGCTTGATGTCCATCGTTTCCATTCAGTAAAGGATGACCCCTGGATATAACTTGGTATGCATGGGGTCCAAACCACAATCTGTAAGTTTCAGAAAACTCCTCTTTAAATGTGAATAATTGAATTGATATACATACAGTTACAATGTAATTACAGTTATCTTTCTGAAGACCTTACAGTTTTCATAAACAAACGACAAATAAAATGTTGGTCTAAGTTTATTCTGTACAAACAAGCCAAGCCAAAAGAACCATGAGTTGGTTAGAGTAGGAAAACACATCTCAAGCGATTCTCTTTTGAACGTGAAGCATTAGTTATAGTCCTACAATGTATTAAGCAAAATTTATGGACACATGAAAAAAAAAAATATAGCAAGGATACTCAAATAGACTACAATAGTTTACACAGCACTACATATGCAAAACTGAATTGTTAATTTCAAATATTGCCTAATTTACATTTTTGTAGCGTACTTGTCACCAACACACACACACACACACACACACACACATCCACACACCCACACACACACACACACACACACACACACATACACACACACACACACACACACACAGGGGTGCTATATTTTGCACTACCAGGTAGAAATATGTTGGACATTTTTACCACGTGTGACCAGTAACATTTCAATCCACTGTTGATATGATTCCACAGTAATTTCTTATGTGAGCGAGTTACAAGGCATTTTAAAGTAATTGCAGTAAAAATACATTTTCATAATAAGCAATGTACCATGAGAAATATGTATAAAATAGCTCGATAATAGTAATAATAATACTGCTTTCGGCTTTTCCCAGATCTCATCTCTGTCCACCACGAGTTGTAATGTCACTTCGTTCCTCGAGATCAAAATAGATATCACAGAGTAAGAAAAAGCTTTCCATACAAATCCAACTGTATAAACATTATATTAAGTTCTTGCTAGGTAAAGTTCCAAAAAAGCCAAAGTGGAAAATGAAATGCACTTTTTTCTTTTTAACTGCCTTTTAAAATGAGTATTATAAAATGACTCTGCAGTTAGACTTCCTATTATGAGAGAGCAAAGGCAGGATGTTGGCGGTTGTACACCTTTGGAAAAGACAGAACAAACATAATCAATCCTATTTTACCTACACATCCTAAATACAGCTTTACATTTCCATGTTTTACGTACGTCACATTTCTAATTTCCATCTCCTGCCAGGTTATACCCGTGTGGTAGAGTGGGTGCTGGGCAGGCCTGCAGAGCTGTAACCAGCCGGGAAGGTGCTGTACGGACTCATGTTGGAGAGGCCCATCAGGGAGTTGGGGATCATGGTGATGTTGTTGGGGGTCATCAGAGGGATGTCATCAGGAGAGCGGCGCTGGGTAAGTGAGTAGTCTAAGCTGGGTGAGACGTGAAGAGGATTGTGAAGGGCCTCACACTGGTTCCTTTGCTGGGATGACAGGGTCTCGTCTACAGTGGTGGTGTGGCTCACGTTGTTGCCTTTGCTGTCTCGCTGGGGACTGGGCTGCTGCGACGTGTCCTGCCGACTGCGCTTGTCCTTTCGGTAGTACAGAGCAGCGAAGGCCAGGACGTTGAGAAAGAGCAATGATGCCCCTACAGCAATAGTGACGCTGAGCTCTGTGGAGTAATCTCTCGGGTTCGGCATGATTAGAGGACCCATCTCCCTCCCCCCTTCCCCGTCACTGTGAGCAGTGGATACAGGAGGACGCCCTGTGCTGCCAGACTTTTTGCCATTGGACTGGGTGGGATCCAGCGGGGTGACCTTGGTGGTGGTAGAGGAGTAATGGAACATGTCGTGGAGGTTGTAGAGATGGGGTACCAGGTGTTTCCAGAAGGCCACCTTGGTGGCGCGGTAGTGATCGCGGATACGAGGCTTTAGGCCAATGTGCAAGTACAGCTGGTCATAGGGGTCGTACTTAGACCAGGCCACCTCCTCAAAGCGGTTGGCCTTGGTGTGGATGAACTTGGTGTCCTGTGGCACTGGCTTGTTAGGATCCCTGCAGACACATCATAGAAAACTTGGGTCACAAAAAATAACTGTGTTGAAAGAAAACTTTGTCTTATGGTTTGTTGATAAATCAATACATATGTCGACTTTCAGCAGAATCATATTGCGATGAAATGATCTTATCGAGTTATCAATGTAGAAATTTTGTTGTCCAAATGAATGATCCAGAACAAGCTAACAAGATTCTACACACAGTGGTACACAGTTCCTTGCACTGAACATTAGTTAGCTGGATGCTGCGATTTTGCTTATGTTTGCTATACCATATTGCTATCAGAAAATACCTTCATTAATGATTTCAACCACATTGCCCAGACATATTATAAATGCAATTTTGCCATTCGAAATACATATGGAAACAGAAGAATTTCATCAATATAAAGGCAAAAAAGGAGGTCAACACAATGTAATATCACCATCTCTCCTCAAGGGCTCAGCATTCCCTCATTCCTACACTGACACTACACAGCAGCCTACAGTGACCTGTGCTGTCTTTCTGACTGCCAGGGTCATCATGAACAAAGAGTCATTGCGGCTGTGCATTCAGTATGCAGGAAAACTGAGTGAGCTAGCAATGGAGTCCTCACTAGAGTGCAACTCACGTATTATACGTATTGCTTATTCTCAAAAACGCACAGCAAATCTTTGTTGCCGTATGACAAATTGTAAAGGAAGGTGTCAGATGGAGAGCTGTTGAGTTTTAATCTGTTGTTACTTTCAACAGGATGCTTTTTCAGCGCTGGGTCAGTGTACGTGTAATATAAAGTCAACATCAGACCATAGCTTGTCTTGAATAACACTCAATAACTCTCATTTGCTGAAAACTGGAAAACATGATCAAGCTGGAAAAGTGTTTCGTTTCTTAGAATACTTTAAAATGTCACTGCTTCTAATTATTATCCAATATCTAAAAGAAACCTATAGTTAGATATATAGAAGATGCTGTAGATACATAGATGGATACATTTTTGTGCTACAAATAAATGCTAGACAGCCAGAAGGAAAGAAATCTCCACAGTGAAGAGTTCATCTCTGACCAGTGACTTGAATACTTCATACTCAAATCTATACAGTACCTTCAATGAAGACACTATTATTTGCTACCAGTGTATGAATATTATGTATTCCAAGAAAACATGATACACAGTATATACATGATATATTTCTGTGCTGATTGTTTGTACAAAACCTACTTGAAATCACAACTCAGAGTAAAGTCGGGCAAGGTTTATGGAGTATATCTGAACTGCGTCTTCAAACTTTCTCTATAACGTAACCTTTCTGCTAAACAGTGAAGAACTGCTTTAAACATTTATGTGAATTAAGCTGTAAATTTTAAGATCCATCACCTTTAGGAAGTCTGCCAAAAGTGAGGAAAATTTGAGGGACAGTCACTTTTCAATCTCAGCACTACTGGAAAATTTGTGTATAAAAATGTATATAAAGAGACATTTCACAGAAGCCTAAACACAACACTGGCCCTTTAAAAAGAGACAACTTGGCATTTAAAAAGATACAGCTTTCATTAGATTGCGTGTACAGAATTGTGTGTAGTCTGCAGTTTTCTCAGTAAATGTAACTAGACAGTAGAGCATAACCTGTTTTTTTAGCATTTGGCATTGGATACTTATTTTTGTCAAAAGTATGGGGGCAAAATTAAGCTGTTTTTCACACACATAGTTTCGTCAAACCAGTTAGAGCAAGTGGAAGCACACATAACATACAATTAGACATGACAATTTATAGATGTTCGATGTTTGATATTAATTGGCAAAAGCTGAAGCACCACTTTTCATGTGCAAGTTCTTATGGACTAACAAAGGAGAAAAGGCTAGAAGACGTGGCAGTGGGAGTTCAGGCTGCACTTAATTAGGAGGAACTACTTAAGGCTGAATCCTACAGTCCTTTAATCAGGGTGATAAAAGAAGGGTAAATGTAGACAGAAGTTTAACATCTCAACACAAATCAGCTCTGCACAAGTAAGGCCAGTTATGTTATACCCCCACACTCTGACCATCTCTAAGCCACGACTAGAATGCAAAATGAGATGCTGCACGAGATTCTAATGCATGGTAACTGTGTATCTAAGGCATATTCATGTACTTTGTACTTTGGATTTGCTGTTACTCACCCACTTTTGGCAAAGTTGGTCCAATAAGTCATAACCACAGCGCTGAGCATGATGTCATTCCTAGAGAAGTTACAGGGGAAAAGATCCGTTGGGCCCACCATGGGGATGCCAAACACATAAGGCACCTCATCTCCGTGCGCTGAGTCTGACCACACAGGCTTCATGAGGCTCTGGCAGTGGTGGTAGAAGGCGTAGAAGTACGTGGGAGAGCCGTAGCGGGCATGTAGGTCAGCCGTCACCACTGAGGGCTCCACCCATTGGTGGTCGGTGAATAGAGCCACCAGGGTCTTCCTCCTTGTTTCTGGGTTGTCCTTGTCAGCCCAGTCTGTGTACATGAATTTAATTGTCTCCCTCAGTGTGTCCTTCCCTTCTGGGTAACCGTACAAACTGTCCACAAAGTCTGACACAGCAAAGTCAAAGTCGCTGCCAGACACACCGTCCTCCAGGTCCATCACATTCTCCACAAAGCGCAATCCCTCTCCTTGGTTAACCCCCAGCATTATGTCATAGTTAAGGAACTCGCCCTGCTCCATCAGGATCTCGGGGTCATCTGGGATGACGTCACCGTCAATGACAGGGCCAAAAGCCACGCGGTATCGCGCAGCCTGGATGTCTTGCTCCACCAGCTCCTTAGCACTCTTCTTCTGCAGGCAGGAGACCATGTCCACGGTATCCAGCACGTTGCAGCCAACCCTTTCGGCCAGCATTCGAGTGTACTTGACTGGCTGGTAGTTGACAGCCCAGCTGGACAGAGCTGAACCGCTCTGGATGATGGCTCTGTGGAATAAACCTTGGGACACAAAATTCAGAACAAAAAGACGAAGGACAAAGGTCCAAAGAATAGTGGTTAGTATTTAACTCTACAAAATCATTATAATTAATAGCATTATGAACTACCCTAAGCAAATTCTATTAAGAATTGAATAGTTTGTTGCCACACAAAATTTAAGTAGACAAAAGCAAACTAGCCTACATGTGATGCACTTGGCATACTAGCCAGGGATATAAAGCAGTACAGAGAGTGTACAGGCCAGATAGCTGAACCTTGCTGATGAGAAGCTGCTCAGTGAAGCAGCTGGGAGAAGAAATTAACTGGTATCCTATTACCAGTTCATTTCAATAATTTCTAGTTGGTCCCATCTATTGTTATTATAATGATGAAAAAAACTTGCTTTTCTCTGTTGATCCTCTTATTTGTTTCATGTGGTGGCATTGCTATATGCAGATGAGGGTGAATACATGTCAAATTAATGATCAATTTGCTTCATTGTTTCTGTGCAGAGGTGCAGAGGTAGGTTACTCTACACTAGTTACTGGCAGACGTACAGTAATGGTAGAATCGTTAAAACTGTGTGTCTAACAAGCTGCATAGCATACACATAGACTGCTGATGCCAACTGTGCAGTGTAGGGTCTGTGCAGAGAGCTGAATATGCAGTAACTCTGATCCTTCAATGTTGATACAGTCAACACGCTGCTCTGTTGAATTGTTTATATGCAGTGCGTCACCTCTGTCTCTAGGGAGTTTGTATCTAAAACTAAAAATGACAAGTGATATGTATCAACTCAAAAAATACTCTGCTGAGGTTAAGGCATTGCAGTCTCTGGAAAAAGAGTGCAAGGACAGTGTCACTTTCTCCCTCCTTTGCTGTCATTTATTTCAATTTTTTTAGGGCAGCAGCTAGCTAGTCTACTTCAAAGACAGCCGGAGATCTTTGTGCGTTTGCTGCAGCCCAGCTAGGGCATCAAAGACAAACCTCACAAAGGACAGTTGCCGCAGCCTCCATGGCATTGATAAAAACACACAATTTCTGCCCTTCCTGTGATTCTGTCCAGCATCAATGGGACGACCAGAGCAATAATACCAAAAAGATAAGAGGTTAAATTCCCAGTGGGCCACCTCTATTGAAATACACACCTTTGATTCTTACAAGGAGCATTGGATAGGTGTTCACCAAATGGCATGTTTTAATGTTACCTATTTTATTTTTCAGTGGATATCAGCTACCAGTTGCCCATTGATTTTGTATACGGTATATAATTAAAAATACATTGATTTATGTTGTCATTTTAAAATAATCTTACAGCAGTTGATGATATGATGATATGAGAATATCCCATTTTCAATTAAGATACCTTCCACACATATTTGTGGGGAAAAACAACATATGACTTTAGGATCCTGCTTCATCTGCACACAAAGCTAGTCTTTGGTGAAACAATGCATTCACTCAAGGTTTTACAATAGCGGAAGACCAATACACCAAAATCAATGGTAATCTTGATATTTTTACCACACCGTGCAGGTAGGTAAACAAGGGTAAAAATAATGACACTGAGAGACTGAAATATTAATCAGTCGAAAAAACTGACAGAATAGGTGAACGTGATGACATGCTGAAAACTTCATAATGCCGGTAGGTTTCTTTAAGAGTTTCACATTTTAAGAGGCAAAGCTTTTAGGCTGATTAGATTGAGTAGAGGGGAACAAAAGCAATCACTTACTTAACAAATACCCCCTTTACCCCATTCCCATATCATAACACTTCATCTCTTGGAAAGACCATTTAGAGCTGCACTTGAAACAACATTCCAGAATGAGAACAACATTCCAGAATGATTAAAAAAGATTGTTCCAAAAGTAACACTGACATCTTTAAGATAAGAAATTAATTTGATTGAGAATTTTTTTTTTATCTTGTATGTAAAAGTTTGTGGATTTTGACATTGATTTTTCATTGCTGTATTTTCCTGTGCATTAATTACTACTTGCATTAATTATTGATGCCAGCGATAAGTTAGATTACAAATAGCAGATTTTTACCCTCTGAGTGGTGGGACAATGTTAGCAGACTGACACAGGATGCACCGATCCCAGATCCAAAGACTGTGATGCGGCCCGGGTCTCCTCCAAAGTAACCGATGTTCTTACTGATCCAACGAAGAGCTTGAATCTGGTCCAGGAGTCCATAGTTTCCTTTTGCTGCTTGGTCACCGGTACTGAGGAAGCCTGAAATATACAGAGAGACACCAGAGCCAGTACTGAAATAGAGATCTACAATATGTGTCACAGCTTTGATCTAAAGTTGTAGCCCAGCAGAGCATCTGAATAAACTGACACCGTTTCCCCTCAGGTGCAAATATGCCTTTGCTCTAACCCACAGTGTCTCGACTGCTTTAGTCAACTCCTTGTGATAGTCTCTAAGCCGCAGTGGCCCTCAGGAAGTGAACAGGGCTCTGCTCATCAAATCTGAATGCTCTCCTCGCAAAAGTGACTTCATAACATTCAGCATGGATAAAGAAATAAATCTTTCACCTGTGGCTATTTCTTTAAATTAATTACATAAAACCACACAGAGGTCACTGGTGCTCTTACAATTGATGCTATTACTTATTGCCTTGTCTAGTCTCATCTAAACAACATAGTGTTTTGAATGTTAAACATGGGGACATGAAAAACTCTTGACTTTGTGAATGCTGGTGAATGCTGCACCCCCACCATACTGTATCTAAATCATTTCTTCTTTTAAGAACAGCGAAGTCTGATAATCTTGTACAGATCAGATAAATCCATCTATAGGAAGATAAATTGCATTTTCAGAATGGCTATAAAACAGCTTGTGTGCAACAAGGACAAGGCATGATAAGTATTTACCTCGCTTTTCCTCTGAGGACGACATTTGTATACAAATCAAGCTATGCCATGCTACCAAGATATCCTTTACCTATATTTTCTCATACTGTTTCACATTTTTCTGTCATATGTCTGCTTCTTTTTAAAGGTCGATGACGGTAACATAAGTGGAAATTAATGACAGTTATTACAGTTTATTCTCTCAGATTAAACAGGGATAGAAGAGTTACCACACACAGATGTTGAAATCACCTAATATTCCAATTCTGTAGTTGAGCGTGACCACAACAACATTCCCATAACTGGCCAGCACGCTGCCGTCCATCATGTTCCCAGTGCCCTCCATATAGGAGCCTCCATGGATGTAGACCATCACAGGTCGGGCTTCAGAGTCCCTTATATCTGCAATGTCAACACACACACACATGCTGAGCAAACAACTGCAGAGGCAACAGTAATGAAATGGAAAATTGATGGAGCACTGCTTCTAAAACTTTAGATCCCAACTGTTCAGTATGAGGTATGGGTAAAGACTGCTTAGAAAAGATGCTCAGAAGCAGTGATAGGCCTGTGGTTTGGAAGCTGTAATGACATTCAGAAAATGTATGGTAAATACAATCTGACACAGGGTATATGAATAAAATGGTCAAATATAATTAACAACAGTTTTAGAGTGCATGTAAGCCCTACACCAAGAATATTTGTGCTCTGTACCATATGTGAGCTTCTTTGCATTCGAGATTGAAAGAGAAAAAAACCTATTGATCTGACTTGTGGTTTGATCTCAGTTGAGGAGGAAATTCTGTAATAGGTTTTACAGTTCAACATATAATGCATGCACAGGCATAAAAAAACAAGCTTTACATTTGTAGACTTGAACTGAAAAGTAACTAATCGAGCTCTTGTTATTTATCAGCATGACCTAAAATAGAAACTGTGTTATTTTTCCTATAGAAATAGAGAATCTATGTTTTCAAACCAATCTGTTACACAGACTAATGACTGGCTTTAAAAGGGAAAATAAGACAGATAAGTAGATCATGCAATCTCTGGATCAATGTGCGTGCCAGCAGAGATGTAGCACTTACTGAAAGGACTGCAAAATAGCTCAATGAAGACACAAGGTGCAGTAACAGCAAACTCATGTAATCAGAAATCAGATAACAACATTTTTCTTAATCCACTCTAAACAAAAGAGCCCCCCATGGTTCTTCAAGAAAGTAAAAACGAACAATTTTAAGATCTTCATCCACCAAACTCAAACTAAAAGAATCCATGCAGCAAGACTTTGAGCTCTTAAAAATACCTTCAGATATATGAGTCTCAGCATGTGAGAAAGCCGCCCCCTTTTTCTTGTGTTGGCTCCCTGGGATTCACATACGGAAAAAAAAAAAGAAAAAAAAAAAAGAAATACAGAATTCAAAATAGCATGGTTGACTGTGTTTCTTATTTAATGTAAGGTCCAATCAAACTGACAGAATCTGGAGAAAAAGGATCCATGAATGAATGGCAAGAAGAAGATTACCCCATTTACATGCAGTATGTTGCACTTTTCCCTGTAGTTGCTTTTTGACAAGATGTAGATGACATTATGTAAAATCTTTAGAGACGTATGACACAATTAAACACAATTATAAAATGAGTTAGAGTTACAAAACAATAAGTACTGTAATTCTGGTTTAGTCAAGTAAACAAATTCTTGTTCCTTTTTATATTTGTAGGAAATGGCACATTGTGCATGTGTGCATGCACATGTGCACATACACACACTGTTACCTCTGAATGGTTGATTATTTCAATTATTATTACTCAGCTTTGACTGGAGCAATACATCTTTCTTGGTTCATTTTATCTCTCTATACAACTATATATACACAAAATGTCACATTGATTCTTCAAGTAAACCACTGCAAGATAATTACTGAAGATATGAGGTGTATGGTTTATCAATGCATAATCAATAAACTCAGACTTGAGTGTGGCATCAGGCCACATAAATAAATATTAAATAGTGTAAATTTTAGAAACCCTCTCTTTAATTTGACATGGCAAAAAGAATAGTGGCAAAGGTTTCAGATCAGTGAAACAAATAATAAAGTGACAGAATGCCCGGGGTGTATTTTAAATAAACAATGGCAAAGTCTGAAGAAATAAAAAATATGTTGAACCAATGGGTTAATTTATGTGTTTTAAAATATGAATGCAAATGTAAAAATTTAATTAACCTGTTTGTGTGCCGGGTGATGCGGCTTTTAGGCAGCACTCAGTCCAGGGGCTTTATGAAACGTGGGCTGCACCATTTTGGACAGCTACCTCTCAACTAGGCTGTTTATCTGTTGTTGCTACGCTACCATAGAAAAACCAGTCAAAGTGTGGCATGTTACACACACAAGCTGAACACGGTTAAACTGTGAATGCTGAGTGTTTCGTATTATATTGAATGCCTGAGAGGGGGACAATATATTCTCAGGGACCGTGTTCAATTGGCATATTGAAGTAACCTGAACTAGAGAAAGATGTTTGTTAACACCAGGTTTAGAGAACATACAGCATTGCTGTGGTATCACATTGTTCTGCTAATCTACAGATTCACCACAGACACACAAAATATTCCCTTGCTGGTTCATTTCACAGATCTATTAGATAAGAAAATAGGAAAGGATTCAGCCAGCGATAGACAGTTGACTCCTATACTCACTAATTGGCCCCCAACAGACACACTGTCTGAACAAAGCAGTGATTCAGTAAAAGAATATAAAGAAATTATAATTTTTAACAAACATGGACAGCTAGCTTTACTCGATCACCTAAGTAATTCTTCATGATTACCTTTGATGTCGTGTCCTGTCAGCCAAATATGCTAGGCTCATCGTTTTAACAGCTGAAAATTATTGCTTGGTTTAGGTGGACCAATACTTGAACATCACCTTACCTCAGCAATATTTTACTAAATGTCTATTAGTGAGAGAGCAAGCACATACCCCAGTACATTTATGTTCACTTACACCTCTCTGTGTGCATCTATAAACCCTCAGTGGAATCAGGGCAATGTCTTCATCAAAATATGAGTAAGTTCCCGCTAATCAATGGGACCATGATTGTTATTTCAAATGGAATATGATTGCAACATGTGGGTCCATGGTGACATTGCTTCGGATGGTAAATCAGCCCTGGCGGTGGCAGCAATGACATGAGCAGTGGTCACACACATGCTATGTGATGATCACAGGACGACATCAGGGCCACAATAACAGTGATCGATGGACATGGAAAGTCATTGCTGTCCGTTTTACCACACCAACTCACCATCCTCTGTTGGAGCGTAGATGTTTAGATATAAACAGTCCTCACTCTGATCCTGAATGTATGTGGCTACAGTATCCAGGTTATAGGTGAACCATATGGGCATCATGATCTCTGGCACGGTGTTGTGGATGTTCTGAGGGCACACAGGCATGAAGTGGGTAGCATTCTTGATACCTGACCAAGAGGAGGGCTGGTCTGGGGGCATGAAACGCTTCTCACCCACTGGTGGGGCGGCATAGGGGACACCTAGATACTGATCAACGGGCCTCAGCACCTCGCTGGGCACAGGAACCCTGAGGCCTCGAAGTTTCCCAAACTGGGTGGTGACTGTCGGGTAGAATTTCTGGCTCGTTGCCTTGGTGAATGACCAGCAGGAACATAATATCCACCAAAGAAGAGCACAGTGGGTGATGGTTACAGTCCCTTGCTGATGTAGCAGGTGTGCAGGCAACAGATGGTCTCTAAATGTAGCCAGCCACATGGTCTGGGCAAGACAGTGCCCTTTGCACAACACAAATGCACACTGTAGTGTCTGTTCAGTCCTGCTGTCCTGACCCTGTCAAACAGACATCACTCACTGCACCTTTGACTCCGATGGTTATCAAATCCAGATACACCTCAGCCAAGTATGGACCACCTCCACTTCCACTTTTCATTGCAGGGCACACAGATCTGGAAATGACACGATTAGAAAAATGATCAACAATGAAACTTCAAAACTATTGAAGGTCGCTTTTAAAAAAAATATATTATTTTTATATCAACTTAATATCAGTATAGCACATCCACTGTAACACTTTGATGCTAATAACATTTTGGGACAATTTGCTGGCTTAAAAGAGCAAATGTATGCTTTTACATCTAGAAATCACTGAATACTGATCTCTGTGTATCAGTGGAGGAGGCGATCTGAAAAACCCATCTGCTGAGATGTTGAAGTGACGCTGTGAAAGCATCCCAAGATAAAAGGTGTTAAGCACCTCTTATGTATAAGCAACAAAGTGAACAGCAGCAGAAAAAATCGTTAATACGTACTCATTAGGGATTAAAAAGACACACTCGGAGAGAAATTTTCGATTTCATTGTGATATTTCAGTGTTCAATATATTTCAAAAACACCAAATATAGGGAATGTGTTTGTGTCTTACATATAAGCATCACTGTCAGCCGCTGACTTGAAAGGCCGCAGAACAAACATGTCTGATGGGACCACACTAGCACCAAACCCTCCTCATAAAGCAGAGTAATTGCAGGTTAACTGAAAGACTTGAGGCAGGCTTAGAGACAGCAATAGACCATTTGAGTTCAGAGAAAAATGATTCTTCGACACTTCTTTTTAAGAGTCAGATTTGTTGCGGTCTACATCTTTCACTTCTTTCAGCAAATACGTACAGATAGGAAGTGAAACGAATGTGGAAGGTGAGTTTTTTCTCTTTCAGCTTTTATGATCAGAAGGAATCTGATTTCATTTTTCACAGTGTAATGAAATACTGCTGTTTACAAATCAGATATAATAGAAGACATAAAAGAAGTCCTGTTGATCCACATATATATCTTATTTCTAAGTGGAAGAATTCCTTGATCTTGGATCTGTTAGTCATCCCATTAATGTTGGACTGCTTGATGCAAACACATGATCTGTTTGAACCCAACTGCAGTCACCAGAGCTTCTGTGACTTGATGACAAGTGATAACTAGTTACTTAGTTCATCAGTGTGCACGCTTCAGTAAACAGGAGAATACACATTCACCCTACAGTGAACAAACTGAGCTGTGCTTCTTCTAATTAACTACTTTGTAATCCAAAATATATCCAGTCTCCATCCTTACAGTCTAGGATAGCAGTAAGTATAATATCCTTAACACAAGATTCTCACTGGCTCCACAGTGAACAAAGCAAAAACAAGCTTGTTAAATTAATCAAATTTATTGACGAGTGCTACCTCAAGCATTGACACACTGCAGCGAGACAGCTCTCGTTCAATCTGATGAACCTTTCTGTTAAGACGGGGGACAATTTCTTCCTTGGAATTTGAGAAACTAATTAACCTCAGATGTGGTGCATTGGCTTTTCTCTTTGCCTGCAACATTTTGTTTACCCTAACAGGAACATAAACACAAATAAAGGCACAGCTCATTCTCAGTTTCACATATGCAGCACATTACCTGCTATGAACATCATTGCAGTTTGTCAGTTTTTATGCAGTGAACCAAATCAGATACATTTAGTCTCAAATAGTAGTATCACAGAGGTTCATTGTAGAAATATTGTACATCTCTGCCGTAAGCCAGCTTTGCCCGTATTAATTAACACTTGCCCATAGCCAAAAAAAGGACAAGACTTGTTCCATACCCATCTGCTACGTGACAATGATGTACGGCTCCTAAGACATTAAAATGGAAAAGACAAAGAACCTGATTTTTTTTTCTTGTAGAATGGAGCACATCTTCTGGTTTGGAATTGACACTGATAATAAATGATTTGAATTTCCATTTGGAGGCAATAATCCTCTGTTCCCAAAATCTGCTGTGAAATGGTTATCACTTATCAAATTAGCAGTAACATGCTGTACAGTGGGCATCACCAGTCAGACTTGGTTAAGAAGCAGCAATGGCAGTAAAAAAAAAAGAAAAAAAAAAAGACACCTCTGGGGCTGCTGTAGATCAAAGCGATAATATGAATTCTTAAAATGAGCGGCATTTCCTTTTAAATTACACATGTATTCATGACATGAGCATCAATACATCAGCATATTCTTCCTATTTGACATCAAATCAAACAACTAATTTTATTCACTGGTGCAATGCTGAGGTAGCTTTTTAATGCATTTAGAGTATTTCATTTTGTTTTACTGATAGTAGCTACTGCAGACAGTCAAAGAAGCTGAATAGTGCCTTCAACTGGGCTGCAGACTATTCTCCCAACTTATGGTCTGCGATGGGACAGATGTGGATAAAAGCTTTATGGCTTACACCAAATGGGCCATGTAATAAAAGTGAGCCATCACTCAGCCAAGTTTGATATACTGCAAGTTTTTAGGCAATCTAGACTGGCAGCACACCTGGCAACAGGAGAGGAATAAAAAAACATGGGTAAAATATTTCTTGCCAATTAAATGCCTGCAATAACTCAACAACTGAGTGTTCAAATGTTCAAAAATAAAAATGTTTTATAACCATAACATATTATTCGATTAGACCATTTTGCACCAGTTAGAGGTTTATGCATCACAGTGTTGGTCTGGGTCAAAAGACCTGGGTCTCCTAGGTTTCCTGGACCCAAACACCTCAATTCTCATTTGACTGACTTGATCCCAGTTACAGACCTATTAGAATGATTGCTATAATCGTGTTTCACATCCACCATTACTATCTCTACACCTACATCACTGACAGGCACACAATTTAACACCAATTCACCACTAATAAAAATCTCTGGGACAACATTATTGATTAGGTTCTGGTAGCCTGGGGGCCCTTTACATGAAAGCATTTGAGAAGAAGCCTAGTGTGTCAGACATACTGGGTTCCCAATGCCCTTGTAATTCGACTGGTGTGGATCAAAACCGTTTTAGTGGATTCCCCAAATCCCCCCAATTTAGCAGTGCAATGAAAGAGGGGGTGAGATTGATGCAGATAAGACTGCCTCATAGAAAACATGCAGGTAGCACTCAACATAATGATCAGTGCTTTATAAATTAATGCAAGGATCTAGACCCACAGAGGAAACCAAGCCACAGCCCAGATAGCATCGACAAACTGCTGTAGTGTGTGTGCGCTGCCTCACGTTGTGACTGGGAAGCTTGTTTAATCTAGGTCTAGGACGGTGTAATACTGGATAAAATGGGAAAAAATACTGGCGAGCCAACAAATGTTCAAACATGGTCTATCGCTCAGCAATCCCTTTAAATGAAGCAATTCTCCCAGATGTCAATGATGAATCTGAACAAAGATTCGTCCCTTCTCTCGAAAAAAAAAACCCCCAGAATCATTAGGTTAACTCACCTGCTTTTACAGAAGCTGATACGCGCTCCATCTCGAGATTTCCTCCATACCATTCCCGACAGTTTCGTTATAAGACAATGGGCTGTGTGTGAAATATTTCTCCGGTTCCAGTATCAAACACACGGATCTTTACTCTTATCTCCTGCTTTGCACAGTCTGTGTGCTTTGCGCATTCACGACGCCAAGGTCAGGAGCGCCAACGGTTTTAATGGAGCGCCCACCATAGAGATCTCTCTACGGCGCCCACTGCCAGCGCGTTACTAGGCAACCGCCGGGATACGCCAGTGCATTAAATTCACCCTCCAACAACCGACAAAATCCCAATTTAGAAACCATTAACTAACCACCTTAACATCGGACAGCACTCCTTACACTCACACGCTTTGTGCTCTGGCAAAACCCAGCTGACCAAATGAACAATAAGTGGCTATTCAAGAGGTGTGCAGGCCTGCATGGAGAGAAGATGTGCATTTCCAGGACCAACATTACATTTCACTGGGGTGCTTAAGTATTTTTGCAAATTGTGACAACCATGATAAAATAAGGTGGAACAAGAAAACGCCAGAAAAAATGCTTTGTAATATATTTTAAATTTGATTCCTAATAAGCTGATCTCCTTGCAGCAAAGTCCATGCAATGTGAATTTACTGTATTCAAACCTCTGTTGTCACAACACTATAAGGATTATTATTTTTTAAATGAATTAAATAAATAAATAAATAAATAAATAGATAAATAAATAAATAAATAAATAAATAAATAACTAAATAGCAGTGCTGAAGAGCCCTGCAGTGACAGCCCTTAAACATCAGGCCCACGTTTAAGTGGCAGAATGGATGGACAATGCTGTGCGGCAAAAATGACCACAGGTGGCAGGAAATCAGTCCAGGAAAGGAAAGTGAAAGTTGCTTCTTTCTTAAAATAAGTCAAATACTACCAATCACTGGAATGATTTTTCTACATGTGTTTATTATAAGCATCCTTCATTTAGGGATTTGAAATTATTCAGCTGTTGGACTGTTTGCTAAACTTTCTTTAAATGAAAATATGGATCTGCTTTAACCATACACTATAATATATACAGTATGAGGTGACAGTTGCTGACAGCGCAAACATTTTCCCCACATATGCCCTTCTTTTTTTCAAATGCCTACTGGCCATAGCTGTGATGCTGTGCTTTGTGTATATATAGAGCAGAGGGATTGTCTTTGCAGCTCTTCAGAGAGATACTGCTTAGTGATGTCTGTTTCAAGCTTGGTTACCAAAGCAGGGAGAGCTTTTTACAGAAAAAAATGTCCTTCATAATGTCACTCAAGCAGGGCACAATCTTTTCCTCAGACGCAAATGGAGGGTGAATATCAGATGCAGGTAGTTGATGCATTCCAGGTCATCAGTGGTTTTAGATGGGTGCTATGGATCTACAAATATTAAGTTGGACCTAAGTGGACCAGTATTACCCTTGTGGCATGTAAAGAGTCCAACAAGTTCATTTAAGGAAAACATTTTAATTAAAGACACAATTTCCAGTTCAGATATTTGCACCATGGACAGTTTCTCCACATGAGTCCTAAGTGTGGGCTGAATCAGTGTGACTAGGGACAAAGAAAAAACTGCTTCTGTGGCCATGGATATGCCATGATATCTATTGTCCTTTGGTCAGTGTAATGAAATGATTCATAACCAGGGTTGAATTGACATGGGTTGAGTATATCAGCACTTCTACTCAAGAGGACTGTTGCCATGGTGCCACAAGCCTCAAAAACAAATTCATGTCAATCTGTCAAGCAGCATTTATTTTATTTTGTCATGTTTACAGAATTTGATCTATATGTGCCAAATGCAAGTAGGCGGGGATCAATCTGCCAGGGTCCCCACTTTCTCCTAATGGCCCCTAATGTATCATAACCTTAACCTGTCCTGATTAGTGACTGAATGCTGTTTTATCAAGTTGAAGCTGACTGGGCCCCATGATTGTAGGCCTGGGTTACTAGACTTTCTCCTACGAGTTCCTCTGCAGGGGGAGGGACTCAGTTTGGTGAGGCCATGGAGAAGTTGTCCTTTCAGTTGTCCTCATAGAAATTCAAGAAAACTGTCAGATGGGTCAGGAGGGGAAATAAGGTCAAGCCTGCGCTGTTTTCAGCAGGGGTACAGAAATGCTGACTATCATGACTATAATCCTGTGGTGGAGGGAGAACTTTATGGGAAAAACTCATAAATCTAACTTACAACTGGCCTCTGTGATTGCAAGTGTGTGGGAAAGATTAAGATCACAGTCACAAGTAAAAGCAGGATGACCTCAGACATCTGAAAAGTGCTCCAAGTAGAGCTGCGTCTTCCTAAAATTGAAAGGAACCAGTTGAGATGTGGTGGGCATCTGATAAAAAATCCCTCCCATGTGGAGGTATTTCTGGCATGTCCAACTGGGAGGAGATCCTGGAGCAACACAATGAAGAGAGATTACATATCCCACCTGGCTTGCTAACTGCTTGGGATCCTTCAGAAGGAGCGGAAGATAACCGCTGAGGATAGGGATACCTGTGCTACCTTGCTGTTGTTGCTGCAACCTGTATCCAGAGTCATTTTGCAATATTAAACTTTTCTGGTAACAATTCACAAACCTGTCTCAATCTGCTATCTTTGTCTTTCAAAATGCTCTTTTTAGCTGTCATGCACATGTTTCAAAGACTATAGGCAGTGAACTTGATTGGCTCTCTCAGAGAAACAGAGCTGCGTCTTAATTCTGACCTCTTTTTTAATAAGGGTCAGCATTGTCTTTGTTTACTGGATTCCCGATGGCCCTTTCTGATCCCTCTTTTACCCTGCTTTGCTCTTCAGGACCTACTGCAGTGTATGTCGTGTGCTCAAAGGATACAATACCAGCATGCCCAAATAATGAACAGCACTCCCATTGTTCTGCCCAAACAACTACAATATGAATATGATTCAAGGTCCACAGTCTTTGATGCTTCACTGGCATTCATTGTCTTCCTTGGCACTGCAATATATATTTTTTGTCATTTATTGTGGTACTTATGTAGCCATTACCTCTATCAATTTATTTATGTTATTTTATTGTCAGGTGGTATTGATATTTGTGATCACTCATGTAAATGAATCAAACAAATGTCTACTTTGTTCCTTGAATACACCATCATAGATTAGATTATATGAAACTTTAATGAACCCCAGGGGGAAAGTGGGTCATGTAGCTGTAGAGACGAGGATATACTGTAGGTAAGAGCAAACAGAAACAACCGCTGAAGATACGAGAGGAAAGTAACACAACAGGATATATGAAAATATAGTGGCTATAGTGAATATAGCCTACTGAATACTGAATATACTGCCAATTGTATATCAAGCAACAGATGAAGTCCTTCATTTCTACAGGTGAGTGCATGTTAGTTTATAGATTACCAGCACAAATGCAGTGTGTGCAAATGGGCATCACTGCAGATGGAGGAAAGTAAACACAGACAAACCTGTCAAAAATATGCAAATAAATTATTCACATGCTAATAATTCTACAATTGGGGACAACATATTTATAGATGCACCTAAATCCCATAATTCAGTTACATAAGACAATTTTCATCAATTACCATTCAAACCTACACTTAGTTGGTGCACTGAAAGTATGCTCTATGCTCTTTTCTACAAGACAAGAGCTATTCTGCAGAAACAGTGTTGTTTTCAGACAACCCTGAGGGTTCTTGTGGTCAGGGAGTCCCAGGCAAAGAACATGCATTAGTGATCCTTTTCCACTAATCACAATAATGTCTGAATAAAAAGCATCATTGAACCACTTTCAAGAGAATAAAATAGTATTGCCTATTCCTCATAATTAATTCCCGTATAACAATATGTTGTGTGAATGTCAATTATCTGTGGAGTCTACAACACTAAAGGGCAGGTAGGCAGATCAGGTAAGCAGTACTAATTTCATGTGGTATGTTTTGGTCTCTCCACTGTGATATCCATTCTAGTGTGTATTATTCATTGTCATTCATTTGTAATTTCCCCTGTCCTGAAGTAGAGCCCATTTAATAGGCAACACTCTGCATCAACGGATATATGTGTCTATGGCAAATGCAGGATTCTTGCGAGATTTTAAGGCAGAAGGGGCGGGGGCGTCCTGCAAGACAACACTCGGGGAAAAGGACCGACCATGTACTTGCATGTTCCTTCCACTTTCCCGTGATGCACTGCGTGGCTGTAATATATGGCGGCTGTGTTAGACAAATCATTTCAGTTTAATGAAGTTCCTAAACATACATATTCGCTGGGATAGTGCAGGCATTTGTAATTTTACTGACTTGTAATTTAAGCATTTATAGATTGGCTAGCGAAAATAGCCCAAGCGAGCTCCGGAGGTTACCGTTGTGAGCCGTAACTAAGGCAACGACAAATGATGTGACTCGCGGGAGAGTAAACGTTAAAAGAGAAGCCAAACTATCCCCGGAGTGTTTTATGCTGAAGTTCAAAATTTCCTCTGTGGAGTATGGAGAGACATAACCTGGGGAAAGAAAGACTCATAGTACCCACTGATTTCACCTCACCAGCGGTTTCAAGTAAGTTATTTCTTCTGGTTGCTTTTTAATATTTGCTAGTAACTTCGAGCAAATGTGGAGTTCAAGATGATGTTAGTTGACGTTAGCCTCTGCTGTAACCTAGTTAACTTAACGCATTACCTAGCTAGTCTGCAGTTATCAGCTCTAGTATTAACTAATAATTAACAAGAAAGAAGGCTGCATTTAGAGGAGTCATCTTGGTAACATTATTGAAAAGGCGCTACTTAGAAAATAGCAGACAACTAGTCTAGCTGATGTTCGCACTTAAACATACATTCATGTTATGTAGGAAATGTCCAGGAGGACCTGGTACCCCCATCGCATTTTGCATCGAGTGTCAAGTCTGCTGGAGCACACAGAGGCATTCAAAGCACTGGGACACCGCCACCCATGTCCTGGATAAACCCAGGTGTAACATCAATACCATCAGGGGATCCCAGTCCTACCAATCCATGGCTCGCCATCACTCAGGCCCAACAGGAAATCTTGGAGCTGAGGATGGAAAATCAGCAGATTATGATGTTACAAGAAAACAGTATAAGAGGAAGGATCCCTGTAGATCATCTGTCAGATCTTAGGGCAAGGTATCTCATTTTATACAGTCAGGAATACCATTATTGTCTGTCAGTTGGGTGAATTATTTAGCACATGAATAGGCCTCTTCCTCAAACACAGATCTGCAGAGAGAAGTGAGCAGTGGTCAAGATGGGAGTCAGAGTGGCGTCTGGAGGCAGAGAAGCACAAGGCTGAAGCTGAAAGGTTTAAGGGGCAAGTGGATGCCCTGAAGGAGAGTGCAGGGAGACACAGAGAAGAGCTTAGAGACAGAGACAGCACTGTGAACAGGTAGGAAATATGTTTATATTATTATACAGTCAAGCCCTTTTACAATTAAGTCTGACATTCTCTGTGTAAGTAAACATTTCAGTTTAATGATGAAGCGTTTTGATCAAGCTTAACGTGGGATAACCTTTTCATGACAGACACAGCCATGAGTTGGAAGCAATTCGTGAGGAACTATATAAGGCAAAGACTGAACTCAGTCAAATCAGAGAAGAGCTCATTCACAGCAGTGTGCAGAAGGAGAAGATAAGCTCACAGGTAATGCTGTTTACCAACAAAATATTTTGTTTCGACACTGATGTTCACATGAGTTAGTGGCATATTTTAACTAATTTTGGCAGTTTGTAGTCTGATGTTTTTAGTACAGTCTTGTAGTCTTAATAATACCCTTTAGTCACCTGACAGTTTTAATTTTGTTTCTCTCTGATTAGTTTCACTTATAAATATTCCCTTATATTTAATATTTCTGTTTCTTGCAGCTTGAAAGACTAAAGACAGAGTCTGATGAAGAAATTAAAAGGCTGAGGAGAGATGTAGAGAGGAGGAAAGAGGAAACCCAGGAGCTTGCTCTGAAGGCTGAAATGGGCAGATTACAGGCTGAGGAGGAGGCCAAACAGCAGTCTCTCAGACTGTCAGAACATTTAGAGGAAAAGCAGAGGAAGCAGGAGGTAGAGGTGTGTGCGCAATTAAATTTGAACCGTCATAAATCTTGTACATACTGATTTGGGTGACCTTTCTTATGCCCTACGCCCAGCATCCAAGAACCCATGTCAGCAAGCAGCTGCTCTGCGGAAGTATCCCTGGGTTGAAATCTGAGCACGTAGCTCAGTACTTTTCTGACCTTCCTCAGGAGGGAAACAAGTGAAAGAAGAACTTCTCCTTGGGGATCAATAAGGTATTACATCATTTATTCGTATGTGTCTTAAAATGTCCATTGTTTTCCTATTTCAGCTGCAACAGTTGAATGCTTCCCACTCTGCAGAGTTGGCTGCAACAAGAAAAACAAACAGTGAACTACAGGACAGACTTCAATCAATGACCTCAGAAGTGCTGCAGCTAAAAGGCACTCTGATGGAGGTATCTACCGAGAGAGATGGCCTGAAAGAACATTTAAGGTGCCACATTCAATCTAAAACTGCTAAAGAGCTAAACATCTATCTACATTTATTGTCAGATTCACTGATTCTTTTTTTGGGGATGTTGTTCATTTTTCAGCCAAATGGGACAAGCTTTTGAGACACAATCTGCAACACTGCACAGCCTCAGAAATTACATCGGCCAGCTTGCCCCAGAGAAAAGAGAGAAGGAACAATTAAATGAAGCTGTTGAGGTGGAGACTTTATAAACAGTATTGATTGCGAGCAGTCCACTGTAAAGTACTTGCATGGGAAAACACTTTTAAATGTTGTTTTTCAGTAGAGTAATGGAAGAATGGTGGCGGAAATGAGTATTACATTTCTGAATTAACATGCATATTGTAATAATTCACCCTTTTATTCTAATGTTGTACATTTTGTAGAGGCTGAACAAAGAAAATGCAGCTCTTCAGAAGACCACAGAGCTTTTGACAATCAGACTTAACTCTGTGAATGAGATACTTGCCCTCCAGGAAGAGAAAATGGTAAAGGAGGTGGGTGTTCTTCACATAAAGATGCATAATATTAGCCTAAAAGATCTCTTAAGTGTCTTAAGAAGTCTTAGGTGTTGATGCATTTGTTGGATCATGAAAGTGCTCATGTTCTCCATGTTCAGACAACAGTATATAAGGCTGATGATGGAACAATTCCAGACAGAATGACAAAAGCCCTGCAGAAGTAATTCAGTTGATTGAACACTTCAGCTGTGGTTGTCTATTGAGATGTTGTGTATATAGAGTTTAACTAGAGGTGACATATAAACTATTTTTCCACTTTTGAATGCATTTTTATTACTTTTCAAGTGCATGGAGGTTATTTTGCAGATCATCTTTCAGGAACTTCAAAAGGTCGCTTAAGATAGATAAGCAGAACAGAGAACAACTTGTACTCTTAAGTTCTTTGGATGGTGATGTATTTTAGAGCAGAGACTTTTGAAAGGTCTTCACTGTGGTGTGTTAATATACCTGAGGGAAGAAAGGAAAAAAAAAACTATGCATTTTAAGAAGCTTCAGTATGCTTCAGAAAACATCATCGTTAATTTGTAAGTACGAATTATCCATGCCCATATGGAGTATTGGCTAAAGCGGTGAGTCTGTGTCTGTATATGTGTATGACATATGTGTCTGTTTCAATAGACCTCGGCACACCCACTTGTGAGGAATGGATCTGAAGGCCTTCAATTGATTCAGCTCTGGAGAGAAAAAGTTTTCAAGTTATGCATTCATCTTCGCTCAAAGGACATTGAATTAAGAGGAGAAAAGGATGAACTCCTTTCAAAAGTATGATCTTTTAATATACCATGGTAGAATTATGTCCAGTGTGTTTGGAACAGTGTTTAAAGTGTGGTACTGTTTTAGTTCAGATTCATGGAGCAGCAGCTCCAGCAGGAGCAGCACCGGGCTAGTGTCCTCCAGCACAGTCTAGATAACAGGATAGCTGAGCTGGACCTGGAGAGAGTGGAAAAGGAGGTTAGTACCAGAGCAAGTGATGTGATTTACGTGGCTGTCTGATATTTCGATGATGAATTTGGGGCTGCTTAGGAAAGTGATAAACACTTGTACAATTTTACCCAAGCAGAGTATGCTGACTATATGGAAAATTTTGCTAGTTTCCAAGAGCAGTTGTGGTTTTAAGAACAGCAGCTGGCCACGAAGACTTAAAACTGTACATCATCATAGATTTGTGTAAGATACTCTATCATATGGATATATGTTTTTCTAACCAGACATTGAAACAGGACTTGGCCCAGGCTCACAAGGAAAATTCTCAGCTAAAGTCACAGAGGCAGAAATCAGAAGCGGATCTTAAAATCCTGACAGAGGCAGTGCGCAGGTAAAACAAATTAGAAGAAGAGAAGGAATATGCAAAGCCGCTATTTTTGTCAGTGTTGAAAGTTTCATCACAGATAATACACAGTTTGGCTGTGGCTCACAGGTTCAGTCTGGCATTTGAAAACAAGGTGGCAGAGGTGGACACAGCTCAATCAAGGTTCAACACTTTTACCCAGCGGCTAACTTTTGCTAAAAGACGAGTGGAGACAATCCAAGGTGAGGTCATACCACAGGTTGACGGGATGATTGCAATGTTTCACTTTTAGTTGCATATCTGTATGTCTGGTAAATAATTTACATTAGAATGTTTTTGTTTTACAGGTTTGATCATGAGGAAAGTGGCTCTGCAGAAGGTTCAGCAGACCAGTAAACAGACAGAACAAGCTACTCTCAGGTTTCATCATATATTTTCAATTTATTGATCAGACATTTACTCCATAATACCAAAAGTAATACCAAATGATGTCTCTAAAAGTGCTTATTTATTCTGATCAATAGCCTCCAAATTCAAAATGTTCAATTTTTAATATACCTCTTTGCATTTTTTAAGCTGTAAACAGAATAGTACTTTAGTTGGTTTGCTGGTTAATTGATTAAATGAAAATGAAATGAATCATACTGATCAGATTGGAGTGAATTAATTAGGAAAGTTTTTAAATCCATTAACCCAATAACTAGGCTAATTCAAGCCTACTAATGCAGTTCACATTACAATTATATGTATATTTATGTATACACTGTCCATATAAGGGCATATGAAATATAATTTTATTTTCATGGGGCACCCCGGTGGCTCACCTAGTAGAGCGCATACCATGAAGGCTTAGTCCTAGCTGCAGCAGCCTGCGTTAGAATCCAACCCACGGCCCTTTGCTGCATGTCATCCCCCCTCTCCCTCCCCCACTTTCCTGTCTCTCTCTCACTGCAACTGTCGAATTAAAGGGAAAAAATGCCCCCAAAAAATAATTGAAAATAAAAAATATTTCCAAAGAAACAGGGCATTTGTTTTTAACATGGCTTAAATCAATACTGTGTTATTAATAAGATTTTTTTTGGTATATACAGTATCAATATATCACATTATGACAGTTATGTGTAGTATTACAGTAGTATATGAATAATAGCAGTTGTTTTCTGGCTGTTTAGAGTTTGGCTTGCTTTGTAATACACTGTGCAGTTGCGTCTCAGTCTCTCTCCTTGACTTTCTGTTCCTTTATTTGCTCTGCCATCTTGTCTGCGTTGCCCTGCAGCATCACAAACCTCCAGACAGAGCTTAGTTTGGTGTGTGAAGAGAGAGACAAGCTCACACAGGAGCTCAAAAGAACCCCGGAGCTCATCGAGAAAGCTTTGGCTGATCTGAAAGAACAATGTGAGCAACCTTACAACTCATGACAACTTATTATAATGAATCATATGTTGGCTGTCCATGTTTTGGCAATTTATCTGTCTCAGTTCACTTTGTACGTCTTCCTCAGATGAAAGCAAACAGAGGCAGCAACAGCAGGAGCTGGAGCATAGCTGGGTGGAGGTCCGACAGGCTGTTGCTGGCCGAGAGAAGGCCGAGCAGACCCTGCAGCAGATCCAGGCCCAGCTAGAGGAGACCAAGGTCAACCTGGAAAAACTCCGCTCTGAGCTGCTCATCCAGCAGGAACACAGCAAGCAGGGTGAGGCAGCTGCTACCTTAAGATGCATTACTGTTTTTCAGCCTTGACTTATCCAGGGAAAGCAGAATGAGCACTCCTGCTCCTTTTCAGAAATGCCCTTCATGACAGTCTCCTCATATTCACGCCTGGGATGAGTCTGCCACTCCCCTCTGCTCGGTAGCTTCACTGGAGCAGCAGGGGATTAAGTGACATGCTCAAGAGCACCTTGACTAATTGTTCAGGGAGAGTTTCCTCTGAGGGAATATATATGTCTGTTTAGTTGCTAAATGCTCCATTGTTTTCACCAATTAGTTGCTAACTTAGTTTTTTTGCCATTTGGTGCTCGACATGTAGTTTACAGCAGGTGTTTTGGAGCTGTTTTTTGCTGTTTTTGCACAGCTACCTGCTGTGGCTGAAAACAGTGCTATGAGAGCAGTGTGAGTAAATCAAACCAGTAAAGTTGCAGGTCAGAAAACTAAAATGATGATCCTGAAGTCGCTAGAAAGCTCTGGAGAGGTGATAGGAACTGTGAACTTGGGTGATACATTTCTGTGTGGGTTTGTCACTATGACTGTCTCCTTTCATATACATGTTCTCATGTGAGCCATTGTTGATTTAAAAAGTACTGATAAAACCTACTTTAATGATGCTGACGTCCACTCTGTTGGATTTAATTTCCTTTTAAATACCAGGTCTTAGTATGCTCCACTGTACATTCCTCTGCCTTTACTCAAACAAAAGATCAACAAATGTTTGCCTCTAGCTATAATTTAAAAACTAAATAGTCTTTTTTCTGACCTTTAGGCTAATGCCACTTTATTTCTTTTTGTTATGCACTACCGTGGTCTCATTGTAATAATTGATAAATCTGGAATTTATTCAATCAGCTCTGTTTGTAGAGGTCTTGCCATCTATGAACATTTGCTGACATGCAATATTGCAATAAGAACCAGTTTATCCCTTGAGATGCATACAAGTACAGCATTAGACTGTTTCTCAGTGTGTGAGATACAGTATTAAGGAATGGTGCATTTGTTGTTCCCCTTCAGCCCGGCAGGAGAGGGTGTCTGAGATTGAGGACCGCTGTGCTGAGAAGCTGAGAGAGATGGAGGTTCAAGTCAATATGGCCAGGAGAGAGCACACCAAAGCAGGTAGCAGGATTATCACCATGCTACCTCAGCCCACAGAAGCTTAACACAAGGGACTGAAGTCATATCTGTAACACAGACTGTGATCTAATATGATTGGAGTTGTTTACACAGCATATAGCAACATTTCCCAATGGCTCTTAATCTGTCTGTATTGTCGCTTGCAGTTATGACTTTGTGGCAGTTTGAGAAAGAAGCAGCAAGGAAACATGAGATGAGAGAAACTCAATATTTGGGGAGTGCACACACAAAGAGGGAAGTTGAGAATAAGCAATTGAAGGAGACAGAAGAGGACGAAAACCTGCTGCTGGTAAGACTTTAAAACAAATGGCAGTTGTGAAAAATGTTCTTCCTGTCTTCATTTCTTTTTATGACCTGATATGACCTGAATCTGTTCCAGGCCACTCTTGCTGAACGAGGGCTGATGAGTGGGTATCCAAGAGTTTACACAAGAGCTCCACAAAACTCTGCTGCTCCCAGGGAACAACAACAAAAACCTTTAGAGAGGAGTCGCTCTGTAGGGGCAAAAGTACCTGCAGACGGTAAGAAGTGTCGTAACTCTTCATGCGTCAGATGCTTTTTCTTTTCTTTTTTAAGTCTTAACGTTTGTACCGATATAATTGATCTGACCAGTGGCCTGTCTGTGTCCTGTCAGAGAGACTCCTGTCTGTTTTGGAAGAGCTCCACACTCTCAGTGCTGCAGTGGTAAACAGTTCTGAGGACTCAGCGGAGGAGGAGGGACAGACTAACAGCGTGAGACCGTCCACAGGCAGTCTGCACAGCTGATACCTGAAGATGAATCACTGGAGGCAGTGAAAACCCCTTTAATTTGTACAAAAGGTTGGCAGTGTTGATGATTTAGGAGCCATGAAAACAAAGTCAGTGGAAACAGTTTGAGCCAAACATCAGAAAAACATGCATGTCACATTGCTAGTGGGCGTATCAGAAGAATAATAGTGATCTAGTGCAGACACAGTATACATAAATTTAACACAAATGTAAATTCAGGTTCATAAAATACTTTCAATACCTCTTCTGCATCTGTCTGCAGGATGACATTTAATTACAGACAATACTGTAAATACATTAATGGACAAAGTATTTAACTCAGTCAACATATTATATGTGTTTGAGAAATCTCCACAAGCTCTCCTTAACCAAAGTGAAATGAACTATTTAGATATTTATGTTCGTAATATGGTTTTTCATTCTCTTGCTTGGACTAAATCACCTCACTTATTAGACCACGTTCAACACTTTCACTGTCTTTTAATATTTTTGAATGATATTAAAAATCATAAAATCATAAACTTGGTCCTAGAGTTGTTTGATTTGTGACCAGTGAATCAATGTTTGAGATGGCACTTCAGCAAACATGTGATGTGATACATTCACAAAAGAAACTACTTATACACACATATATATATATATATATATATATATATATTTTTTTTTTTTACTGCAGATAAAATGATAGAATTTATATCCATGAAAAAAACTGGACAGATGGTGATGAATTAAATAAATTCAAATGTGTGACAAGATCTGTCACTTTCAGGGGGCTTTTTTACCAGATAGAAAAGAGGAGCCTGCCAGATAAAAATAAAGCTGACACAGTGCTTGTGCTTCTAATGCGAATAGAAGTCTGTACTGTTGAAGCTTATGTGACGTCCAAGTATTTCTTTGCTATGCAGAGACTGGTGTCTTACTTTTTAGTACAACCCATAATAAAGTATTTTTATAGTGCAAATTCTGTGGTCTTCAACAATATGGTCTAGGGTGAAATGGTGATGAAGAAATTCATGATTTGATGTAAATCTAATTTCCACTAGTGTCGTCAAAAGCCAAATGAAGAAGAGCAACTTACATATCTGATATCAGAGTTTTACAGTAAGTTAGATTTTTGCATAAAGAATTTCAAAAGATACACAGGATCTATAGAGTCAATTGAGAAATTTAATGTGACTGGTGCATCTGCCCTGTTTCTCTCGATAAAACACATATACAATTGGGAAGACCTATATGATTTCATATTGAAAAAATCAATATTTTCTATTTGAAGTTCCTTTTATAGAGGTCAATCTTAAAATGACTTTGCAGTCATAGGATGGACGATGATAAACATCATGATGAACCAGATAATAGTGCTATTTGTCATGTTGTCATGACTTATAATAAATTTTGCAATAGCTCGAAGTTTTGAGCCTCTAGGTATAAACATTCCACGGAGAACCGAGTGAGAGCAGAGTCAAAATACTAATAAAGTCTAGACTTTCCTGCTCTATTTTCTAAGAGCATCAAAAATAATTTGCAGGGACAGACTTGCTGCTTGATAGGTGATTCATCACTGCAAGTAGAGGTTTAAATTACATTTTTTTGAAAAATATTGGATTGTGCACTGCTGCTTTTATCTGGTGCCTCAGAGTTTGCAAGAGTTTGCAGCATGTAAGGCATGAGAGTTAATAAATTCATTTGTATTGCCTTTTATGTTTGGTACAAAAATCAGTAATGTCATCGATGACTCAGTGAAGGAATTATGTATTGCCGAAACTAACAGACATCACGATGGATAACTTTAAAGGAATGTGCCACCAAATTTAATATTCCATCTTTGACCGTGTTATTCTTGTAATTTATTTTAGATCACATGATGCATTAACATTGTGCATTCATGTCAGAATAAAAAAGTAATATTAATAATTGTGAATCATAACAAATGTTCAAAGTAGGCTGACTGCAAGAAAGAAAAATAATTAAAAGCAAATCATGGGTTCTCATGTCCTGATTAAAACCAGCAGAGGGCGCAATTGTCAAAGGTGAGACCTGCACATACAGTGATTTCCATTATTTGTGTGGACTGTACTTTGTAAAAGGCAGTTTCTTCACTGGAGTGTTATTGGAGATAGTAAAGCATTAAATGATTTCTCTAGGTTACACACATTTCTTACCTGCAACTATCATCTATCAGACTTAAGAATGAATCTGAATAAGAAGCCTGTCCAGAACCATTTGATGCTGTGCTGTGTCTATCCGCAAATGGCAAACGAACATGAGAACGGGACTGATGAGAGAAAGTGAGAAACTTTCAGGTTGATGTCAAATTGTTGCTCTATTGTGTAGTGTAGTGGTGAAATGTGATAATATACAGCCTGAATAAGTGCATTTACTGTATATATCTTCATTGCCTCAGCGGTGTGGAGAGAGTCACAGCCAGACAACACTGGTTAACTGATGAATAATTTAGTAGAGCATAGCAATCCAAGACATGAAATAAGTGATGTAATAAAAACCAATAAGCTCCTGAACAATTCAGCATTAACAGCATATAAATAAATGTTCTAAACAAACGACTTCAAACTGATTTTATATCTATAATATAAATAGTAGGCTGTTTTCATATTTGTAGAAATATTACCACTGACCAGAGTTATGTGCATGTGTGTGAAACCTCCTCCCTATGGTTGTGAGGCTGATACTGTGCTGTCAGATGGCAGCGTGTCAAATCAGAACATCTGCTGTCATCGGCCCTGCATGTCATCAAGTGTCTGCGTCAAGGTGCTGCATCGTTTTCTGGTTTAGTTAAAATACCCAAACCTGCAGGTTTATTTCCACTGTTTTGATTTGGTGGCAAGACTTTTGTCCTTCCACCCAATGGCATTGGTTTAATTTCAAGAAATTATTAATAACCTTATTATTGTTAAATATTGGATCAAATATTTATGACACAAAACAGAAACAAATTTATAAATACCATGGAACCTAGAAGATGAGCCAAATAGCAGGTTGCCTTTTTGCAAAACTTCTCCATGGTCCAGATGACCCACTTCTTTTTGCTGGATTATATTGAAGTAATATTCAGGGCACAGATGCAGCGCACTGTACACAGCTTGTTGCTCACTCAGCAGACCATGTTTTATATATCATTAGCTATATTAGCTATATGTTAGCTGGCCATAGCCAAAGTCATAACTTCAAATCAAAAACTTTACTCTCTGTGATGTTCTGTCACACTTTGCCAAATGTCCCCAAAGTGGAGTCCTCTTGGGGCCAGTCCTCATTCAAGTTCGCTACAGCCAGTGACTGGAATAAACTGCAGAAATCCCTAAGACTGGTCAATTATTACCACTGTATTTTCTCTCAGGGACATGTAGCTGTTCCTCAGATATGTTATTTAGAAAATTTCAGTAATCTGCCTTTTTATTTGCTGACCCTAATATTTAGTTGTAGAATGGGTAATGTGCGGGAGCACCAAGTCCTGTTGTTTTTAGATTAGATTACAAGAAACATCAATTTCCCAGTCCTCACATGACAACAACATTTTGGATTTAGATATTAACCGCCAAACAAACAGCGCCACGTCTTTGCAAAGTTCCTGCAGGCCAGAGGTCAGAACTGATTTGGATCTGTGTCTGAGGTTGATGTGATCCAGTAAGTCAGGGGTGTCGACCACCAGTGCCGCATGCTGCATCAGAGCCTGGTGGATGGTTGTACACTGCTGTGGTGGGCCATGCTACAGGGTAGAACAGCAGCCATGGAGGAGGCAGCCAAGTAACCCTATTTATAGATGCAGGCAATGTGGGGCATTGTTTGTGGGGGTTGACAGTGGACTGAACTGTCTTCAAACTACAGCAACTGCAGTGCTTTAGCATATTTTCCTGTAGTGTAAATATGAGGCAGAATTTTATTACATTTTTTTAGTGTCTGTTTTCCTGTACGGTAAGTGATATTCTTCTGACCTCTGAACAGTGACAATAGATGATAAATGTTATTGTTATTGAGATTTATCATAGAAAAAAGTTCATTATTAATTATTAGTTTATTATTATTAATGATTATACTTTTTCCAGCTGATAAATATTGGGGCAAATCAATCAATCAATCAATCAATCAATCAAGTTTGTGATCAATAAAACAGCAGCTTGAAACCAGATTTCAATGAAATGTAAAATGTAGGAATGTGATATCAACAAGTTTTCTTTTTGAAGCAGCAACAGTAAACATGTCTTTTTTCATGCATGATGAAGTCTCCACCTGTGCCAATCAGTCACCTTGTTTGGAGCTGTAATTGCACTTCCCCTTCGGGATGATCAGTGTAATTTGGAATGCAGCGCCGAGATGATGGCAGTGTTTACTAGATGACTGAATGACAAATGTTGTAAAGAATACTCACCCGTTGTTCTTACTACAGTGCAACTGACTCACTGAAAGGCACTTTGCCTGCATGTGATTTACCTGCTCTTTAAAATGAAAAAAATTATAAAAATTAGGTAAAGTAGGTGGAATCACTTTACTAAAATTATGATTAGTGACAATACAGGTCAGTGTGGGTGCAAACTCAACTAGTAAAAGTCAACCTAGGACAAAAGTGACAGGTTTTCTTAAACTGTTAGCCACCAAAATTTCTATCCAGGCCTGGATCCTATAATTGGATAATGGTTTCATGAAAAAATGTTAACTAAAGCTTCAACTCTTGAAATAAAAACTACTTTAAAAGATCCCAATAAGATCCCAAAAGTCTGTGAATCCCTAAGTCTGAATAGAAATATTTATTGTATCTGTGTAGTCTGCAGCCAGCATCATATCTTGTCATCAGTCATCAGTATCTTAATATCTCCATCAGTTCAGTTTTAGCATTCAATGTGCTTATACATTTAATGCAAACTTCTATGCACATCTAATATGCATTTAAAAAAAACCCATCAGAGCCCCCCTGTCTCTTTACTTTCATATGATTGTAAAATGTTGGCAGTAAACCTTGCTCTTACAGAGTGCCTTGCTGTTGGATGAGATTGCAAGCAATTTAGACTGGGGTCAGCTTCTGCTGGCAGGACTTGCGTTAGCAGAATGGAAAAACTGGAAAAACACATTACTTCTCTGAAAGTTCTAATTGAATATTTGACATAACAGTGAAATATGAAATTATCACATCAAATATCCTGCAGAGTGTGTTTGGACTTCTCAGTTTTAGAGGTAAAGTGAACTATGGAGAACATCAACTGAAAGTCAGCCAAAGGGCAGAAAATCTAATGTTAGTTCTGTCCTTTAAAGCATCTGTTGTCGAGATCTCATCAGGCAGAAAAAGAGACAAGGATTGTTTGAGAAAACAGAACATAGATAATTAAAATTGCCAGGCTCATTTGTTTTGTTCTGTGAGCGCTTTGCCTGTGGGATGTTCAGTTAAAGATGTGGGAATGTTTAATCAAATATCCATTAATATTCATCTGTGCTGCTGCACCTTAGCTCCCTCTGGTTA